TTCCCAGACAAAAGCCATTGCTGACCAAAAAGAACACAAAGGCTCATCTCAAATTTGCCAAAAAAATATCTTGATTATCCCCGAGACTTTTGGGCAAATATTCTGTGGACACTTGCCATAATTGACGGAACCATGAATTCTGCACTCTATCAGAAAATCTTGAAGGAGAATGTCCGGCCATCAGTTTGTGACCTCAAGCTCAAGCGCACTTGGGTTTTGGAGTGGCCAAGTCAAGGACCTTAAACAGTCCATTCATGCTCGAAAACCCTCCAATGTGGCTGAATTAAAACAATTCTGCAAAGAAGAGTGGGTCAAAATTCCTCCACAGGGATGTGAAAGACTCATTGTCAGTTATCGCAAACACTTGATCACAGTTGTTGCTGCAAAGCGTGGCACAACCAGTTATTAGATTTAGGGGGCAATTACTTTTTCACGTAGTGCCAGGCAGGTTTGGACAGCTTTTTTCCCTTAATAAATGAAATCACTATTTCAAAACTGCATTTTGTATTTACTCAGGTTATCTTTGTGTAATATTAAAATTAGTTTGATGATCTGAATCATTCAAGTGTGACAAATGTGCAAAAAATTAAAAACAGGAAGGGGGCAAAAACATTTTCACAGCACTCAATATATATAATTTTTATTATAGTGTGTGTATATATATATATATATATATACTTTTTTTTTTTTTAGGTTTTTCATTTAATATTTACATTTCATATTTCAGTTACCAAAATTGATTTTATTTGTTTTAGGTTTTGTTAACAATATTAAGCTTATTTTTGCTAAATGTAACAAATATTTGTAATAATTAATAACACTGCTGTTGACAGAGCTTATCTTGTATTAACTCTTCATTCATGTCCGTAGGAGCGAATAATACCTGTGCTGGTGAGGACACATGTCTTCTTGCATTCTTCTTCTGTCTGGAAGCGGTTCTCGTTGCCCTGACAGCCTCCGTACCAGAACTGAGCACAAGCGTTTGCCTGTTTGTCGTAGTACCAGCGAATGACGTAGTCTCTACAGGAGCCCTGACTCAGACTGAGAAAACAGTGAGGACCCAGAGGAGCCGATTCTGAGCGAAGAAGAGGAAGTAATATCACTAAACACTTTCAGAAAATAAAACCTTTTTTTTTATATTATAAAAGTATAATTTTAATATACTTTTAACCATTCAGAAAACTACTATAAAACTAACTATATTTAACAATTCCGAAAACGTACTATATTCAATTTAATATTTAATATTGTCAATAGGTTTTAGAACAACGTTTGTATACAAATTTAATATTATATATATTTATGATAAAATATTTTTTAGCCTATTGGTAATATTTAATATTGTCAGTATTTATGTTTTATAGCAGCTTTTGTATAAAAACATTATTTTATGTTATAGAAACATAATTTGTAACATTTAATAATTTGCACTATATAATATTTCCAGCCTATTGACAATATTCAATATCATCAATAATTTTGTTTGTTGTACAAACAGTTGTATAAAAAAACACTACCTTTTATCACTACAGGACGAGGCTTTGCATTCACATTCACTGAAGTAGAATGTGTTGATACTGATGATGATGAAGATGATGATGATGTTCCTGGCTGTACAGGTTGGACAGTCTTATTGACAACAGCAATAGTGCTTCCACTTTGAGTTTGTGTCTTAATGTCTAGATCCTCGCCTTCATAGTCATTCTCCACCTGCACAGAAGCAACAACACAGAATCAGACAGCAGTCTGGTTCAAATCAGTCTGCATTAGTCTAGCGTGCATAAGAAATTCACAGTAAGTTAGTTGTGTTGATTGACCTGTGCTTTGAGAGGCCCGGGGTTGATGGGAAGAGGTATGCTGTGTCCTCTGCCTCTAGAGTGAGTCTGAGATCTGTCCAGTGAAATCTCCTGAAATCTGTTCCCGTAAACATTATTCCTGTATGAAGAAACATCCTCTTTGCCGTTACCGTATCCGTTGTATCCGTTGAAGCCGTTGGTAATCCGGTTGAAGTAAAGGGCCCCGTTCTCATCCTCACAGAACTGGCTGACCAGCTTAGACTCCAGAGCTGCATGATGAGACCAAACACAGAGCAAGATGCAATTATATAACTTGAACTTTACATCTTTGCAGTTAGGATTATTCATTATGATCTTGCTGGTGATACAAAATTAAGCAGCACTTTTGCAGTGATTTTTCATTAAAAAAAATGTATTAGTGATTTTTCATTAAAAAAATGTATTTGGCCAGTCTTAAAGAGTGTATTATTATGAGTTAAGACTTGTTTAAATAGTGTCTCTGATTTAAGTTCAGTCTGAAAAATACAGTTAAAATTGGTAAAACTGATTCATTTTAGGGAATCTGTTCAAATTCATTATCAAATCATTTGTTTTGTCATATTTAAAGTGTACAACTCACCACAAATCTCCTTAATCAGCTTGATTATGTCTTCTCTCTGAAACATAATAAAAAAATGACAGAATTTGCTAATATTTACAGTGCATACGTTTGCACAGTTTTCCTAAAATTAACACATTAATCATCTTGATTATGTATTGTCTCTGAAAAATAATTAAATCATTACTGTATTTGCAAATATTTGCAATGCATATGATTGCATAGTTTTCCTAAAATTAACTCCTTAATCAGCTTGATTGTCTTCTCTTTGATAAAACATTGAAAAATGACAGAATTTGCTAATATTTACAATGCATATGTTTGCATAGTTTTCCTAAATTAACTCCTTATTATAATGCATATGGTTGCATACTAAAATGTAATCATTAATCACCTTGATCATGTCGTCTCTCTGAAAAATCATTGAAAAATGACTGAAATTACCAGTATTTGCACTGCATATGGATGCATAGATTTCCTTGATTTCTGAAGGATCATGTGACACTGAAGACTGGAGTAATGATGCTGAAAATTCAGCTTTGCATCACAGGAATAAATTACAAAAAAATAAAATACTTAAATTTAAAAATTTTCAAATAGAAATCAGTTTTTTTTTATTGTAATAATATTTCACATTATTATTATTATTATTATTGTCTGATCAAAAAAAGGTTGCCTTGGTGAGTATAAGAGACTTGTTTCAAAAACATTAAAATTATCCCAATTGTCTATATAAAATGTTTGCTGTTTCATGATTAGCATAAACAAAATGTCTCGTTATAAATACATTTCTTTCAAAAACATGTTTTGAAAAAACTCTAAATTATTCTCTATATAGAGCTGCTTTATGATTAGCATAGTCAAAATCTCTTATTTCAGTATTTGTTTTCACAAAACATGATAAAATCTGAATTATTCCACACTTTTGATCAGTTATATACATATTGCTCAATCAAACTCCCTTATTCCTTTTACTCATTTTCTTCATTGTTCTACAGGTTAAAAAGTCCCACCCACCTTTGGACCAGGCAAACCGTAACCAGTCTCTCCAATCGGTCCGGGAGGACCAGCGGCACCCACATCACCCTGAAGACACGAGAAGATGAGCTCATACCATTACTTCTCTGTTTTATTGATGAATGTGAAATAGAAACGTTCTGATTCATAGTGTTGGCAGTGGGCCATTAATACAACGACATCTCCCAGCCTGCAGGGAGTGGCACAGTTGTAGTAGTTTGGCGTTGTTACCTTTGCTCCTGCAAGAGCTCGTCCAGGTAATCCCGGCATGCCCAGCCTTCCTGGCGTACCTGGCTCTCCCTAAAAAACAACAGTGTAATGTTCCAGTGATGCAACTGCATTACTGCTCAAACTATGTGAGAAACCACAGGCATTTATTGCACTGCTACTTCAAACAATGAGCGGTTTTGTAAGCTTGGAGTAAAAAAAAAAAATCACATTTCATGTTTTTGTTTTATTTTAAACATTATTATATTTAGTTATTTTAGTTATTCTTTATCGTTTTCATCCTCGACCCTATAGAGCACAACAGTAAGGTTCTGGAAATAGAAACCTCATTCCTTTATTTCCTGTACTCTTTCATAGTTGCAGACATTTAAATATTTTGCAGTAAACATACACTACCATGCAAAAGTGTTAGGTTTTTGTAAAATGATCAAAATTAAAGTTAAAACAGTAATATTGTGAAATACTATTACAATAAAAAAAACGATTTTTGTGGAAACTGTGATACTTTTGATGAATCATGATGAAGTCTTTGATGGAGTTCAAAAGAACAGCATTTATTAAAAAATAGATTAATTTTTTTATTTTTATTTTATAAAGCCTTTATTTTCAATTATGAATTGAATGTGTTCTTGCTGAATAAAAGTAATTTCTTTAAAAAAAAATCTTAGGCTGCGTGTCCACCAAAATGTTTTTGCTGAAAACGTCAGGCGCTTGTGAATGAAATGCTTCTCTAAGCGTTATTTTTCATACCAATAATATGGTAGTCTGCCAGTTCCATCTGGTAAAGACATAAATACTCGGAGACAAGCAATATTAAAACTTCTCCAATGTTGTTCAGTTGTAGTACAAGCAGGGTGGTCGGTATTAGTCCTGCCCCGCCTCCACTGTGATTGGTTAGCTGACTAGAAAGTGACAGTGATGAGCGTAGCGTTTTACCCAAAGTTTGAACATTCTTCAACTCTCGGCACCGAAGAAAAATGCCTGAGCGCTCAGCGTGAAAAAGACGCTCTCGGCACGCTCCTGGCATTTAAAAAAAACATGGCGGTCCCATTGAGAACAATTGAAAAAAACACACGCAGCCTTACTGACCCCAAACTTTTGAACAGTAGTGTGTACACCGTTGTAAAATATACTGTATTTTATACTTATGCTCAGTGATTATAAATCGATAGTTTTACTGTAAGAACATTTCTGTTTCTATTAAATCATTTGCGATGCTTCATGGCATGCAAAGTTAATTATACAAGACAATCAGGCTTTTGTGTTTTTATTTATTTTTTTGTCTTTTTCTGATTTTCAATTACTTTTAATCAAAGTTCATAATGCTGCATTCTCTGACTTGGTTGCTTTTTTCACAACATAGTCATTTAACTTGATATTTAAAACGTTTTGTAATGGAGAAAATGTTAAAATACTTCCAGAACCATTGTTGCGCTCCATTTCTTTAGTTATTCTCACCTTTGGTCCCGATGGGCCACTTATGCCAAGAGGACCTGGCAACCCTCGAATGCCACGTTGGCCTTGATCTCCCTATTAAGATCAGAACACAGAATATCAGTCAACATATACTGTAGGATGCCTTTTTTGACATCCACCAGATGATAATCATCAAAATATACTCATACAGAAAGAAAGTCTGAAGTACTGTACCTTCTCTCCTTGAGTGCCAATTCCTGGAGCCCCCTCAGGTCCCCTCAAACCTGTCGCCCCAGGCTCACCCTGATGAAGAGAAACACAATGCATTTAATATCCAGAGGTGGAAAGTAACGAATTACATTTACTCGCGTTACTGTAATTGAGTAGCGTTTTTGTGTACTTCTACTTTTTAAAGTGATTTTATAAATCTGTAATTTTACTTTTACTTAAGTATATTTTGTTTGAAGTATTGTACTTTGCTACATTTCAATACACATTAATTACTGAGTAAAAAAAAAATCGCTCCCTGGAAACTACTGCAGTAAATAATGGGCAGGAGAACAAACTGGCGCTAAAATCACAAGAAAGATGCAGATGGACAAGACAGGCGTTATGGTGCAGACCCAGCTGAGTCATATTCTGCTGAAGCTGAACTCGAAGGAAATGAAGTGAACCCCTGGCCATATTTAAGCTCTATTATGCAGTGTAAGCTGTGTTTGCCTAGGCCCTAGGGAGACCAAACTAGCAGCGTATAAAATCTCGACATCAACCCTTCGCAAGCATGTAGAGGTAAGCTAAATACTTGCATCGTTGCATTGGTGGTAAAAATGAAGCTTTGACAGTTTAGCAAAAGGTTTTGCACAAATTAGCCAAAAAGACAGTGGTGCAGGGTGTGCGATATATATCGTCTGTGATAATAACGTAATTGTTGTTTTAACGATGTGCGATTTGACATTATCAGTATTTGCCAAAAACCAAACAAAACACTCCTACAGAGTGCCTTGAAGTCTAGTAGATTAGACTAACGTTAGTGCGCGCACACATTTAGAGTGCGTTCTTTCACTGCGTGATTCAGTCTGTTAAAATACATTTAGAATTATGACAAAATTTATTTTATATATTTATATCATTTCATATAGTAAATCAATATCACATGAAGAGTGTCGTTTTTCTCCAAAAATCAGCATGATTACATATAGATTTCTTTTTACAACAGTTCAACAAACAAGAAGTTAATTAAGAGCCTTGCGTTTTAGACAACATATCGCCTGTTTTTGCTCAATTTCGACAACAAAAATAATTCCAAACACAGCCAACATAGCACAGTTTTGCGTCTGAGCAACATGACAGTGTTTCGTTCAATTCAATTCAATTTCAAGTTCCTGAATGAATCAACCATTTTAATGATTCGGTTCAATCGCAATGACTCACTTATTAACAGTGACTTGCTGACACCTACTGGCGGTTTTAATTTCACATTTAAAGTATCTTCTTTTTTTTTTTATAATTTCAAATGAGTATTCAACATTTTATGTCTCATATATCAAAACATTATTTCTGCATTTGTAACTGCAGGTTATATGCATTCATGTCCTGCATTAAACAGTGTGTAATCTAAATGCCACTACAGATGAAGCTTCTGTGTTTCCTCTGCATTGCAAAGATTTTGTTGATACTGATTTAATTTCCCCTGTAACAGCCCAAATGTCTTATTAAAACAACTAGTTTGAGATTTATAGGCCTATCCCAGGGGTGTCAGACTCAGTTCCTGGAGGGCTGCAGCCCTGCACAGTTTAGTTCCAACCCTGCTACAACACACATACCATGTAGTTTTCAAATAAGCCTAAATGATTAGATTAGCTGTATCAGATGTGTTTAATGGTTATATCTAAACTGTGCAGGGCTGTGGCCCTCCAGGAACTGAGTTTGACACCCTTGGCCTATCCCATTTTTGCCTCCCTCCCACTGTTAAAATGTAACTAAGTAAATTTTAAATTAGCTACTTTTTACTTTTACTTGAGTAGATTTTTAGACTGGTACTTTTACTTGTACTTAAGTACAATTTTTACTTGAGTAGAATATTTTCGTATTCTTTCCACCTCTGTTAATATCCACTTAACTTGCCTATTTGCCTAGAGACTTATCTAATGAGCAGAACTCAATCTCAGTCACGTTAGATGAGCTCACACCAGTCCAGACATCAGAAAGCGGAGTTACCTTTTGTCCTGGAGCTCCATCCTCCCCAGGAAGTCCAGGTACACCAGCCAGTCCATATGCACCAGGTTCACCCTGAAGAAATAATATCAGTACTTAGTGCCATCTTCTAAAGTCTTCATCATGGTCAAAAAACTAGCTTCCATCCCAAATGTCCCATACATTTTTGAGCCTACACCACAAACCTTTGTTCCAGGTTCGCCCTGCCCTCTCTCTCCCGGGGTTCCCATCTCTCCTGGTAAACCATGTTCTCCCTAGAGAACAAAATGGAAAATAATCAAAAGATTAAGCCAAGAACTAATTTTATGTTTCCTTTTACAGCTTGCCATTAATTATAATCTTTAGCCTTTAGCAGTACCAACCTTGGGACCGGGGAAACCCTCTCCTGGTGATCCTCTTCCTCCTGGAGGCCCTCTCGGACCCTCAACACCCTGATATTGAGAAATATTGCATTAGAAAACCCAACATATAAGATCACTAATAATAATGATAGAAATAATAAACATAGCATTGCATTTAAATTATTAGGTTTAAAAACATAGGAAAGTCTTTATCATATACAAATCAAATATTTTTTTTTGTTAGTTTTTTAGTGTTTTTTAAGAAATCTCTTATGGTCACAAATGCTAAAATATTTGATCAAAAACACAGTAAATATTTTGCAATATTACAATTTCAATGAAATGTTTTCTATTTGAATATATTTTTAAAAGTAATTTTTCTCTGTGATGCAAAGCTTAATTTTCAGCATCATTACTCCAGTCTTCAGTTTCACATGATCCTTCAGAAATCCCTGAATATGCTGATTTGCTGCTTAGTTATTATCGATTAATATTATTGAAGCTCAAAGATTAATAAACGTTCTTATTATTATCAATGTCAACAACGTTTTGCTGGTTCCTTTTTTGTGGAGACCGTAATACTTTTTTTTAAAGGATTATTTTATAAAGTTCAAAAGTACAGCATTTATTTGAATTAGAAGCCTTTTGTAATATTATAAATGTCTTTACTGTCACTTTCAATCAATTTAATGCAATTTAAGTTTTTTATTATTAATATTTTTAAATATTACTTAAAGGGGTCCTATTATGCTCTTTTACAAAGTCTTGTTTTTGTTTTGGGGGTGTACTAGAACAGGCTCTCATACTAGGTTGTTTGAAAAACACATTATTTTTCACATATTTTACATTATTACAACACCTCTCTTCCCAGTCTGGCATGAACGGCTCGAATAGTTCCTGTATCAAATGAAAGCCCGCCTTCTGAAATATGAAATGTGCTGTGAATGTGCTGGGCCAAGCTGGGCCAGTGTGTGCTGTGATTGGTTAGCTGGGCCAGTGTGTGTTGTGATTGGTTAGCTGGGCCAGTGGGTGTTGTGATTGGTTAGCTGGGCCAGTGTGTGTTGTGATTGGTTAGCTGGGCCAGTGTGTGTTGTGATTGGTTAGCTGGGCCAAGCTGGGCCAGTGTGTGCTGTGTTTGGTTAGCTGGGCCAATTGAAATGTCATGCCCCTTACCATAGCCGCCTGCGAGCTTCAGTGTAAATATTGCGTCAAAATCAAATCAATTTGAGTGTGATTTAAACCCGGATGATTGTAACCACTCTAAGTGCATCTGCTTTGGGAAAGCTAGCGTGTCTCCAACATAGTGATAACACTCGTTGCCTTCTCTAGTGCAGCTCAACCAGGTCTCGTCCCATTCGTCGATATTTGTGATATCACGAATCCCGGAAAATATGCGTTGTAGTCCAAACGAGTCGTTCGTTGAAGTTTTTGAAAAGTGATTTCTGTTAAATAAAATATCTCTTTTTGAAGTGGACTTTGAGCTTTGTAACTTTGCACATCTTTTTTATGCTCAAACAGCAACATTACAGACTAACTAAAGTTGAAAAAGTGAAAAAGCATAATTGGACCCCTTTAAACCAAACATTTGAATGGTAGTGTATCACAGTTTGTAACTTTGATAATAATAATAAGAAATGTTTCTTAAATTAGCATTTTAGAATGATTTCTGAAGGATCATGTGACTATTCATCTGTCTTTTTGTTATGGCAAGGGGCATTTTATGAAATAATGCATGTCCATTAATGTACATTTTCTTAATTCATTGGACCCTGCAAACAAGTCAAGGACAGTTAAGAACACACATAAGTCACACAAGTATCACCTTTTCTCCCTGAATGCCAAGCCCTGGGAGTCCGATCGGTCCTGGTAAACCTGGAGGCCCAAGCTCACCCTGAAGACACAAAAAAGATGAGTCCGTTTCAGATAGAGTAATACATCTCTAAAAGATTTAACATAGGGACATAATAATCGGTCTATTTTGAGCATAAGAAATGACTGGTGTTTTATTCAGTATTAGCAGGTGAGCAGGACTCATCTTTTCCCACAGTAAGTTGAGCTGTGCCGCCCTCCCATCTGCTCTTTCTTACTCTTTATTACCCTCCCATAAGTCCCCTGCGTTTAAATGGGAACTTATAGGGCCAGTTTACATACTTCATTAAGCCTTTTGTGTGTCGTATATGGTGTGATTTGTGAACCCCATTCATGGGCTGATATATTTACAGCCCACCTTATCGCCTTTGATTCCAGTGCCTGGCTGTCCTCTTGGTCCCTTCGGCCCCTCCAGACCCCGGTCCCCCTGTCAAACAAAAGAGGCGTCATCAGCCCAGTGTCTCTGAAATGCAAGCCTCCCTTTCGCTGCAATTCGGATGCATTTACTGCATTGCATGTATTGTTTCTTCATCTGTGGGATTTAGAAAACACCTGTTTTTCTGATTGGTAATAATACAGTGTAATCTCTCAGTGAGCCCTAATTGTTGTTTATTCACAGTGGCTCAATTTGTCTGATGGTCGGTTGCACTGATAAGGATTAAATTAGAGCTAATCCAAGATTTTTTGATCTTGGTTTTATTCTAATTTGAGTTGTGTTGCACCAATTAATTTCAAACACCACTTAATTAACAAATAAAACCTTCACCTGCAATGAATTCCAGTGTTATTTTTTTATATTTTAAAATGTATTATTGTCTCTAAATGTATTCTATTTAGTTTTATTTTTACATTTTTATTTCGTTTTAGTAATTTCATATTTTTTTATACGATTTATTTATTTTAAATGAGCTTTTATTTTTATATTTGCGGTTTTCATTCTAAACTTAATTTAAGTTTGAGTAATTTTGTTATTTGTTTTTATAATTTTTATTAGTTTTTTTCATATTTCCATGTAGAGAAATATTTTTTTATGTTTTAGTTGAATTAAAAAATTACTGAAAACAATTTTTAGTGGTTTTAGTTGCAGCTAACAATAACACTTATTTCTTATCGTCAAATGCATTTCATTTGTAAATATTAGCATGAAATAAACTGATGAAAGAACATTGATAAGAAAAGGCAACATGTAAGTATATGCAAATTAATGACAAATGCAAGATGGCTTATCATTTTCACAATAATTCTCTTAAAGATAAAGGAATATTATAAAGAGTTATGATAATAGTCACAAAACATTTGATATAACTAGAGCACTTATGAATCCAAAGCAATACATTTATTTCTCTGGAAAAATGGGTCAAAAATATTGATTAAACATCCTAAAAACGCCCCTCAGTTCATTCACTTCAAATTGATTCAAAACTTGATTTGCATCTTCATGAATACTGAATATCATCATAAATCTGAAAAATATTGAGATATAATTTAGTTTAGCTACTGTGTGAAGGTTTTCAGAGAACTGAGGTTCTCCTTGACATGAATCACATTTCTTTGCTGTATTTTTAATTTACGATTACATTTTATGCACAGTTCTGGCTTTGATGTAGACCTAGTTAGACTGCTAACATTAGACAGATTACAAAGAGTCTTTATAGAAGTCAAAGAAAACGGATCCATTAAATTCTGTCTTGCATCCTCAGGCTGGTAATGCTCAGCTAATTTATCCGGAACATACAATAATTAATAGCCTTGGGTTTTGAAATGAGGATTTACCAGGGAACTTTAAGCCTCTAATGAGGTATTATAAAAAATTACGAGTCTTTAATGCATTTGTAGATCTTCTCAGATTGCCTTTGGCTACTCTCCAAGTAGATTAAAGAGCATAGAGACATCAGTGAGAACATGGCGTTTTTGGGCTAACCTTACCTTTTGACCTGGAAAGCCCTCTCCTGGTGGTCCTTTCTCTCCTAGAACCCCCTGTGGCCCTTGAGGCCCCTGATTTGTTGAAGAAAAGTGAGAAAAAATGTCATTAGTCAAATCTATGGGTGTAAATTCAGTGTGTGTTGAATATTTTAGAATTTCTGCTTCTGTACTTACAGGCAGACCTGGCTCGCCTATGCCATGTGGACCCGGAGGACCTGGTCTCCCCTGAAATCCCATATCTCCCTGCAGACGGATCAAAGACGTGAACAATTCAGGAGAATAAGTGAGAAATACTCCATAGAAAATGACAGCATATCTGAGAATCCACAACCATTACCATCCATGTCATCTAAAAAATGTGCACAATGAAAATCACCTTTTATTCAAACTGAGCAAAAATATGCAATTTGGTGAAGATGCTGATATTTATAAGGCCAAAAAGTCAAATGAAATTCTTATTGCTTGAAATGTAAATGAGATCTTTATAACAGTATAACAGACTACTTGCATAAAATGCATATACTGTAAATATCAGTTTTCACTCTGTCTCCCTATAATATGTCTTTGTAAGATGCTATTTAAACACTTCGTTTTATGATCAAAGCTTTGTAGTTTCAAAACATGTAATGCAATGTAATACAATGATGATGGAGAGACTAGACAACTAGACGTTCCTCAAAAGCTACTTTTTGATACTTTTTTGATATGATTTTTCTAATGAATGATATATGGATAGTTAAGTAAACCTACGTTGCTTCAGTCCAGTAAATGTTACTAACAATATAAAAGCTATTCTTATGCTTAATGTATAAAACACAGCACAGCAAAAGTACACTTTACAATACACTTGTACAATTATACTAAAATGACTTTTACTTGCTAAAAAAGTATTAACCTCAATCGGACAACAGAGGGCATGTTGTAGATTGTGTGTAATGGTTTTAAAGCAAAGTTTTGTTAATGTTGATCATATAGAGGCCTTAATAAATTGTGTAACAAATATGATACAGTAGGCTTTATAGGGTTCATGGTTAAGGTGGCTCACTGACAAAGGAAACAAAAAACATCTTAAACCCGCCTAAGGTGGTTTGCTGGTCTAAGTTGGTCTTAAATCTCAGCCAAGCTGGTGTTATGATGGTTTAGCTGGTCTCTTAGCTGAAAAATGACCAAAACTCAACTAAACACACTAAACCCAGTAAATCAGCTTAGGCATTTTCCCCAGCTTTGAAGTCTTTTTGTTTGTGGCGATTTTGGAGAATTGAAGTGAATTTGCAGTCAAAAAGGTAAATACGGCTGACCTTTGGTCCAGGAAGTCCAATTCCACTGTCGCCCTGAATTCCAGGTGGGCCAGCAGGGCCGCGCTCACCCTGTGATTAATTACAAACAAAAACAACAGATTAGATACATCACATTCATGAGAGAAATCAGGTCTCATGTATGTATTTATTTAAAAGGATAGTTCATCCAAAAATGTTGTCATAATTTATTCACGCTCATGTTGTACCAAACCTGTTTCTCTCGTTTGAAGAATGTTCATTTGTTGTTGGTAGACGCTGACTTCCATGGTATTTTTTTTTCCATACTATGGAAGTCAAAGGCTACCTGCCACCGTTTACCATCATCCTTCCAAATATTGTGCAAAAGAGAAGGAAGACATTCATACAGGAACAACAACGAGAGTGAGTAAATGATATATAAATCATTATATAAATATATATATATCACCTCAGAACTACTAAATGTAGTCTTTGTAATCGGGGAATTAAAGTCGGAACCAGAACTGTTAAATTATTTACGATGCCTGTCCATATTTAGGGTGCATAAGTAGCATTGCACCATCTGTAGAAGTGTTATTATGGATTATGGCCTTGTATTTTGGCCAGAAGTAACAATTTATAGTAAAATCGTGTAAATGATGGATTTGCTTTTTTACAAACCAGCAGCCTTGCACTTCATAAGATGTAAATTGATGGACTGGAGTGGTGTGGATTACTTGTGGATTATTGTGATGTTTTTATCAGCTGTTTGGACTCTCATTCTGACGGCACCCATTCGCTGCAGAGGATCCATTGATGACGTAATGCTACATTTCTCCAAATCGGTTCCCATGAAAAAAAAAACTCATCTACATCTTGGATGGCCTGAGGGGGAGTACATTTTCAACTAATTTAAATTTTTGGGTGAACTATTCCTTTCATTTTCAACCAGAAGTTGAACAATATAGAGATGAACTGTTGTCAGAAAATGCAAAGTACAATCCAATTTAATCAAGTAGGTCAGTGCAAGCAGTCACAAATCTGCTCACATTTACAATATCCCCCTACTGTGCTGCCTTTCCACAGGCTGGAAATTCTCTTCGTTCACGTCACCTGCATGTCTGTGCATGAATTTATACTTTGCACAGCATTTTTCCATCATGCACATTTCTACTGTTATTAGCTTCCAAGACAATAATCTCAGACCACCCATAGTCCATTTGGTGAGCTGACAAGCACTTTCTAGCATCTCACTGGTTGACTTTTAACCTCAGGGAGTAAGGATTATTATTTAAAATAATAATGACTGTTTATTATCACGGTATCATCTATTTTTAGATGATGAAGTACAAAACCATTTGTTTCATGGCGGTCTGTGACACTAGTTTTGTGAACCTGTGCATGTATGAAGATGGATCCCTAATTAGTGAGGACATCTGCAGAGCTGTCTAAACCTCTGAATGCTTCCTGCAGTTAACTTAAACAAGGGGAAACTACTGGCAGAGCAGCAGACCTCTATTAAAGGAAATCCAAAACATGTCAAAACACGTTCATTCATCTTCGTCCCCCTTTTTGAGCATAAGTGCAAGGCATACTTATACTAAACTGGACGCAGTTTGTCAACCCTTTACACTGTAGACATAACCATGGTCTCTTTTGAAAGAAGACACAGAGGACTTGGTCTAACATACAGGATTAGTTCACCTAACAATTCAAATAACGTATTTACTCATCCTCTTTTTTTTTCAATTGGAATCAATGACTCAAAGAATCAAAGAATTGCATCTATTTTCAATATAATAATAGTTCATAGTCAAAGTCGATGTAAAAAAAAAAAACACCATTAAAGAGCCATAAAAATAGTCAATATGACTCGTGCCAAGATTTCTAAAGCCATGCAATAGACCATTGTCAGGGTCATTTTGACGGGAATGAAAACGAGGCTGTTAGGGATACAAGTACTGTGTGTTTCATGTATTGTACTATTGTTTAAGAGCATACTAACTATTCAGCTGACAAAACTTCTTTCTGAAAAATCTCTCAGTATATAAAAACTCCAAAAAACAGTTTTGAGTTATGAGGACCTTGATACAGTGCATGCCATTGTAAAGACTGTAAGTCTGTCCATCACAGATTTGTTTTTATCCATGTAAAAATCAATATGATTAAGGTCTATAGCTTTCTGTATGTAAACAAAGGAAAAGTGTTTTAAAACTTTTAAATATTTGTTGTTACTTCCTTTGTATTCCACAGAAAAATTATAATAATAGCATACGGGTTTAGAACAACATGAGGAGTAAATAATGAAAGAAATTAATTGTTGGATGGACTATTCCTTTAAAATTATAACTAAAACAAGTACACTCTTAAAAATAAAGGTGCTTCACGATGCCATAGAAGAACCTTTTTGTCTAAATGGTTGCATAAAGAACCTATAAAGGGGTCATACGATTTCAATTTTTCCTTTCTGTTTGGAGTGTTACAAGCTCTTGGTCCATAAAGAAGATCTGTAAAGTTGCAAAGACTAAAGTCTCAAATCCAAAGAGATATTCTTCATAAAAGTTAAGAGTCAGCCACGCCTGCCTAAAACGGCTCGTTCTAACACGCCCCCACATATCTACCTCACTATGTGGGAAGATTTGCATAAAGCCTCCCAAATGTTCACGCAAAGAAAGAAGGCGTAACTTTTATTCTCGCTGTAGTATTGTTGCCACCGCCGCCATGTCGTGAAGACGCCGTGTGCATCATTTTGAAAGCGAAACTACTTTGTTTGGTCTTCCAACAGAGGACGATGTTTTTTTAACCTTAAACCGCATAAACACATTTCATTACACCAAATACACAAAATAATGTTCTTTTTAGCAGCATCATATGACCCCTTTAACATCTAAAGAACTGTTCTGTTTCACAAAAGGTTTCTTTGTGGCGAAAGAAGGTTCTTCAGATTATAAAAAGGTAAGAAAGAGTTGGTTCTTTAAAGAACCTTTGACTGAATGCTTCTTTGTGGAACCAAAAATGGTTCTTCTATGGCATCGCTTGAAGAACCTTTTGAAGCACCTTTATTTTTAAGAGTGTAAGAAAATCTCAAATGCATTGTAAACGGATGCATAAAATATTTACATATATCACACTGTCCTTGTCAAGGCCTAGAAACATAATGGAGTGAAATTCCAAAAGTCTGTCTCTATTCTGCACCTCATGTTACCTTCAGAGTGCATCATTTAGTCAGAAATGGACATATATGATAATTCCTTCTAAAGAACTGTGAATGCATCAATATTTCTCATTCATTTTGGCCAGAACGTTCTAATGGATTTTATCTAATGGATATAGCAAACAAACAGGCTTCCAGTGCGTGGGGTTTCTCATGGGCAATAGCATGCAGAATAAGCAACGGCTTCTGGAGTCATGGGAGACAGTGAAACTTTTCCAGGTGTGCGTGTTAAATATAATGAGCTGAAATTTTCAGGATAATGGTTTGTGATTATAAGCCACATACCTTCTTTGCCTGTGGGCCTTCTGGTCCGATGTCACCCTGTGGTCCTGGTAAACCCTGCAGGGGAAACATGAAAGGGTGTGTTACAGTATCTAGCATGAACATTTGAGTCTCTAGGACATTATCTGTAGACACCAAAGCATTATGCTGCTTTACAATACAGTAAAATGTACGTTTAATCGTACGTTGGGGGAAATTCAACATGTGTTTTAACATTTACCTCCTTTGAAATATATTGAAGCCAGTTTCCACCACGGGATAAAAAATTAGGAAACCTTTTTATTTATATTAGTTTTACTTTATATTAGTTTATATCTCACAATTCTGACTTTTTTTCTCGGAATTTGTGTGAGAAAAAAAAAGTCAGAATTGTGAGATATAAACTCCAAATTAATTTGTCACACATTTCTTAGTTTATATATCACAATTCTGAGTTTACATCTGGAAATTCTGTTTTTTTCTTCTCCGAATTGCAAGACAAAAGTCTGAATTGTGAGATATAAACTCAGAATGACTAGAAAAAAGTTCTCATTGTGATATAAAATGTCACCGTTATTACCTTTTATATTTTTTAATCTTGTGTTGGAAACGAGCATTTTTCAAAATAAACTCTCAGATTTAGTTTGAAATAAATTAATGGAATTTTTTAGTTTGAAATACAAACAACTGTCTCAGCTGATCTAAATGCAAGCGGTCAATGCTAAATACAGGTGTAAACGGCTCACTCAAATACATTTGCATATTCAAAAAAGAATGACCACCTATTCACCTGTCAATCAACTACACACTAAAAAAAGAATCTGGTGTAGGATTTACTTTTAAACAATTTACACTCAGAAATTGCTACTACATTTCACAAATAATTTATAACTTTGTAAATAATTTTTGTTGCAACACTTTAAAGGTTAAAGGCTTTAAACAACAGTATGGCTTTAAAAGCCAACAACTGTAAACGGTAAACAATATGATTAAACATTTTACATACGGATATGTTTAAATAAAAAGACATGTTACATTTGAAAATAAATATGAAATAAATGTATCAGACCTACCTGCAGACCTCTGGACCCTTGAGTACCAACTGGACCTTCAGGACCCTATCAGATGGTACAATATAAACAAATGTAGCATTTGAAACGTATACTGTATTACTGTGTTCACAACATATTGGAGGAGTGTGCAGAAACTGAAACTTCTGAAGGGTTACGCACTCGGTCTCCTTTGATTCCCGGAGTGCCACATTCTCCTCTTTCACCCTGTAGATGGTCAGAAAAAATCATAGTCGTGACAGTCTCTTATGCTTCCACGTAAATATATTATGAATAGGTGCAGGGGTTTAGTACCTTCTCTCCTTTGTAGCCTGGTTTCCCCTGGGAACAAAACAGGAAGACTTTATGTATGTATGTATTTATTATTTTTTAGTTTTTTAAGTTTATTCTTGCATATTGGTCAATGATGTGACACTAATCTATTGTCTGGATCTATTAAATTATTTAAAAAAAAAATGCTATTTATACATACAATACATACATACTTGACAACACATTTTAATTTGTGAATTAAGATTAATTTTATTGTTTTTTTTAGGCTTAAAATCTCAAAAATGTCTAGATGGTGTAAAACAATCTTGGACTTTGATTTTTTTTAAATAGTTTGATCTAATCTTAATAACTAACTTAAACTTAATAATTAATGTTACAGTTTTGTTTTGAAATAAAAATGAATTTTGTCCAAATAAAAGTCAGTGTTATGTAATAAAAATGTATCACCAGAAAACCAGAAAACAGGAAATTAAATGGTAATTTTTTTTTTTTTAGATTTAATATTTTTATCTTTAATAATTAGTACAAATTAGTTCACATTTGCAAATAACTGAACTTGAATCATTAATAATATGCACATACATACACACACATTGTATACAGTATATATACACTATAAAGTAGTGTGTGTGTCTGTAAAATAAATGTAAAATAATTATTAGTGCTGTCAAACGATTAATCGCATCCAAAATAAAAGATTTTGTTTACATAATATATGAGTGTGTACTGTGTTTATTTATTATGTATATATAAATACAAACACATGCATGTATATATTTAAGAAAAACATGTTATGTTTATATATTAAATATATTTATATAATAATATAAATGTATATACCTGTACATGTAAATATTTTCAAAATATATACATGCATGTGTTTGTATTTATATATACATAATAAATAAACACAGTACACTTACATAATGTAAACAAAAACATATTTTGGATGTGATTAATCGTTTGAAAGCACTAAATATGTGTATATATATATGTAAATAAACATTTTTGAAAAAAAATTAAATGTTCACAATAATTTAACCTTTTTAAACATTAAAAATCGAAAATTAAGATTAAGCACAATATCTGATTACTATTTTCTTGTTGATTACACCACCTGACATTTTTTAAACCTTTTTTCGGTTTTTTTTTTTTTGTACATACTTCTTTCATTTTACCCAAATATTTTTTCATTCGTTCAGTCATGTAGCACAATATTTGACGAATAAGCAGTGATTTTGTGACCCTGCTTCAGCCCCTCACCTCTGTACCCTCACGACCAGGAAGTCCACTCAAACCAGATTCACCCTAACAAGAGCACAAAACAAGTGATTTTCAGAAATGGTTATAAAATACAGTTTGTTAGTCTTGATTCCTTTACTGTTCATTATGAGAAAGTGTTTGTGAAATCTAAAGAAGAAATAGGAAGTGACAAAAACACAACGATATAACTAACCTTCAGCTTCCTCATTATATTTCCAATTGCATCCACACAAGCAAGCACACGGCAGAGAGAATGACAGATAGACAGCATTAATAAAAACTAAATACTGACCTTTTGACCTTTAGCCCCAGGGCCTCCATCCTCACCTGGGCGACCCTTCTTTCCCTGCAGGGGAAATAGGAGAAAGTGTGAAGCTGTGTCAACTCCACACAAAATGTTTGCTCAATAGAAAAATGAATGACCTGATAGGTTTATTAGACCCATAAAACTAACCAATCGAAATGTAGTGCATGCACTTAAAGGGATAGTCCACCCAAAAATGAAAACCTGTATGCATTTCTTTCTTCAAAAGAAGATACTGTATTTTGAAAAATGTTTGTAATCAAACGGTTTCAGGTCTCATTGACTCATTGAAAATATGGGACCCGAAACTATTCGGTTACCAACATTCTTCAAACTATGTTCCTTCGTGTTCCACAGAAGAAAGAAACTCATATGGGTTCGGAATGACATAAGGGTAAGAAGATTTTTGGATTAACTATCCCTTTAATTTTCATAGAGGACACATAACAACAGTTTGGCAAGTGACTTCAAGGTTTTATTTTATGTTTGTTTATATATTTGTTATTAATATTTTGATTTATCTTTTATTTTTATACTTTCAGCTTTCATTTTAATTTATATAGTTTTAGTTAACATTAACACTGATTTATGGTTCTGAACTACCTACTGTTTGAGGACAAATTGTTCGCCAGAAGTTACCTAAATCTAACAACACCACCTATTAGGAATGTACGTTTTTTTTTCTTTTGCTAAATATTTCGATTAAAAAAAAAGATTTACAATTTTGTGAAGTTAATTGTTTTTTTAACCAGTTCAAATGAAACAATTCTTTAAGATAAATCAAACAGCACTATGAATGAACAAGGACAGTCTCTGAGTTCACTTGACACCTGGTCAGTGCTAAAAGTGCTGGCCAGAGGAGGTTAAACTAATGAGAACAATTACTGAGGCCTGTAATTTATAGTCATGAGAATGTGTGGAATCCCAGAAAGGTGAAAGCACCTGGATAATGATGGTTAGGCGTCTGTCAATAAATAACTGACTCTAACATGATCCGGCCTTCTACACACTTCAGGTCAGCGTTATAAACAGTTAAAAGAGTAATCAGTTTCATATAATTTCATCTCAAGTCAGTCTGAATTTGTTCAGTGCATCTATGTGATCAAACTCAATTCAAAGTGGTAACTTTAAAGACCATGTAATTAGGCAAGTGATACAATGGCATGCGTTTTGTGTCTCAAAAATGCAAGGACAAAATGCTAAATAACTGCACATATATATATATATATATTACTAAGGCCATTAACCCGTCATAGGCAGGTGTGGCAAAACGTTAATTTCGGATCCGTAGGTGTTTGAAAGTCAAGGTTTTCAGCCAAAACATGCAATTACATTCTCTTCACTTTCAACAGTCTGAACATGAAGGAGACTTCGTTTGAGGAATCTTATTTTGTGATTTGCCCAAGGTGGTGCTGACAAAGACGATAATTATCCTGACTTTTACAAAGCAGAGCAGTTTTCCAAAATGTCAGAATCATGCCTGTCTCTTCCCACTGTTGACATTCCTCAAAGGAATCCGTGCCTCTTAGGAATAGAAAAAATGAGAAAAATGCGCCTGTGGGCTCGCGTGGAAACACCGTCCCATGTTGGAGGAAGTTTGAAGTGAAAATACTTACCGCCGGGCCGCTATGTCCTCTCTCACCCTTCTCGCAAGCACACTTCGGGGACAGAGGACACTAAATATAGAGGAAAGAGTGTAAATAAATGGAAAAGTCCGTTTTATTTGCTTTGTTTCAATAAGACAGAAATGGGAAAAACTACTTTCTGGCAGGAAAAAACAGTGTGTATATATACTGTGTATATAAACTAGATACATAATAATTCAGTGTAGAGACTCACATCAGTGAGTCATCTTTCAAATCTGTTTATTTCATTTGCTAATCCGAGTGAACTGGTTCAATAGAATGAATCAGACTTTCTTACTCTACCCAATAAGAATATGGGAGAATAATTAGCTATTCCTCAACACTGCAGTAATGCATATTACCATAAAAGACTTTTAATATTATTTACTTACCCCATCGTTTGCCAGCTGAGCCTGGGTAGAGAGTAACACGAAGAAAATTAGATTCTGTCCCAATTTTAGCTTCTATAATATAATTGCTGCTCTTTGGCAAGCCTTTCATTTGTGTGGTTTGGGTAAACAGTACGAACAGTTAATATCAGGCCATACATTATACAAATCTCCCAGAGCAACAAATGTGATTAAAGGAAACGGTATCATTTAACATGCCTAGTCTTGCTTTCCATTGGAATTATATCAAAGTGTTTCTGTACAAATTAGAAAAATTAAACCCGCAGGATATATATCAGTATAACAGCAGGAATGGCAACAATGATTTATGGAATATATAAACCCAGATGCATGTCAGAAAAGCAACAACAGGACGTGTTTACTCTAGTTATAGTAAATGAAGTGTAGAAAGGCTCATCTTTAGGTGTCAGGGGTCCCAAAACACTAGAAAAACAGCACATCATTATTTTATCTTCTGTGTGTCCAAATACTTATCAAATACAGTGTCAAATGTGGTTAGCTGGTCTTGTCTGCTTTAAACTGGTTTAGCAGGTCTCCCAGCCTGGCCAAATGGCAAGTCCAACCATAAAAACCAGGCCAATTAAGACCAGCAAACTGATTTTACAATTATTCATTTTGATATTCATTTTGAACGATCTCCATATCATTTTTGAAAATCCCAACATGAACTGTTTACTCTGTCAGCGTTTTATACACAGCATAAGAATAACTCTTTTGAATCGGTAATTTGATTCTTAGTGAATCAAACAGCAGAACCAATACACAGCACAACAAATAACTCTTATGAGTCAACTCAGTTCTTTAAATGAATCATTCAAAAAGATTCTTCTTTAAAGGGGTGCTATTATGCTTTTTCACTTTTTCAACTTTAGTTAGTCTGTAATGTTGCTGTTTGAGCATAAAAAAGATCTGCAAATTTACAAAGCTCAAAGTCCACTTCAAAAGGAGATATTTTATTTAACAGAAATCACTTTTCAAAAACTACAACGAATGACTCGTTTGGACTACAACGCATATTTTCCGGGATTTGTGATATCACAAATACAGACGAATGGGACGAGACCTGGTTGAGCTGCACTAGAGAAGGCAACGAGTGTTATCACTATGTCGGAGACATGCTAGCTTTCCCAAGGCAGATGAACTTAGAGTGGTTACAATCATCCGGGTTTAAATCACGCTCAAACTGATTTGATTTTGACGCAATATTTACACTGAAGCTGCAGGCGGCTATGGTAAGGGGCGTGACATTTCCCGACCAGGCGCCGAGTGCTGCCAATCACAACACACACTGGCCCAGCTAACCAATCACAACACACACTGGCCCAGCTGACCAATCACAGCACATTTTGTATTTCAGAAGGCGGGCCTTCATTTGATACAGGAACTATTCGAGCCGTTCATGCCAGACTGGGGAGAGAGATGTTGTAATAATGTAAAATATGTGAAAAATAATGTTTTTCGAATAACCTAGTATGAGAGCCTGTTCTAGTACACCCCCAAAACAAAATCAAGTCTTTGTAAAAGAGCATAATAGGACCCCTTTAAATGAATAATTCAAAAAGATTCAGATGTTTGAATCAGTCTGAGGGATCAGCTGAATGGACCCAATAATAATAATAATAATAATAATGTAAAAGAAGATCAAACAGAAACGGTATATAACAATTAGTCCGTTTTAAAGAATTTTAAGAACTGAGTCATGAGTGTGCATTTGGATTGAATTGACCACATCCTTGAACTAGAACCTTGTTTGGAATTCCAGATGACTCTTTTGAACCAGTTCTTTATAGTGAATCAAAAACATACAGCGCAAACAATACTAATATCCAGAGCAAAAAAAAAAAAGATTCAGCAGTTAGCTACCTTTTGAATCAGTCTAAAATGGACACAATTTTCACGCTTATATTATTAATTGGCTGTGTGAAAATGTATGATACATCAAAAATGTATGATAAATCAAGTCAAATCCTGGAACTAAAATAGAAGCTTGTGAATTGAAATGGAATGAAATCTGGAAATCTGTATAGATGCCCAAACGTGTACACAGAGCTCTACTATGTTAGTTGGCTGCTTCTCTGCTGGAGAAGTGTTATAGTAGCTTTTAACTCTTATAACGCCTTCACTCTTGAACAAGCCCAGACAGAATCAGGAGACTTTTTGCATTTCCTGAACTCATTTTAATGAAAAAATGGTTACACTTTATTTTAAGATGTTCTTGTTACAGTGTACATTTACTTACTATATGGTAGGATTAGGGTTTGGTTTGGGGTTATATGCATAGTTATGCATTAAAGCAATAAGCCCCGTGAAGCCGTGGTTTACAGTGAATTTATTACAGCTAAGGGGCGTTGTTAGGCACAACGCGAAGCTGTTATAAATTCACTGTAAACCACGGCTTCACTGGGCTTATTGCTTTTATAAAATGGTTATTCCATATATACGTAGTAAGGTTTCACAAAATAAAACAGAGCAAATAAAGTGTAATGATATTAATAAAAACATTATTCTTCCGCCAAACAATGTAGTTCCTCAGAAACAGTTGTGGTTCCAACAAAGTGGTTGCCGAGAAACACACAGAAGTAAACAAAGGTTATAGCTGCGTCCCAAATGACGCACTATACACTATGCACTCATACACTATGTACATATGCACTGTGTATGAATTATATAAGGTTATTTTTTCATTTATAATCGGAGTCTGATAGCCCCTCCCCCTTCGTTACGTAATTAAAGCTGCGACAGTTGAGTGCATGAAGTGTCCAACATTCCACACTTCGTTTTTTCGGTTATTTAAGTGCATCATCCGGGTGTATAAAGTGCACTTTTTCTTTTTGGAATTTTCAGTGTGAACGCTCTACTCACACTATTCATACTAAAAAACGTCATAGAATAGTGCATAAGTACGCAATTTGGGACGCACGTTATGTTTGTAGAGTAATTTACAACAGCTTTGAACTTGGCTCAACCAATCAGAATCAAGGACCGGAACTCTCCGTTTTATCAAATGTATTGTTATAATAGAAAGTACAATGTAACATGTGTAACAAGGACACCTTAAAATAAAGTGTTACCAAAAAAAAATCTGGATTTAAACATGGTAAACAGTAATCAATGAAGCTGAATATGCCCTTATTGGTAGCTGAGGCCAAAATAATCAACACAGATATACTCAAGTTGCTGGAATGAGTATAATTTGAGCAGTTCTAAGAAATTTGTGAAGAATTTTGTGTGGACCTGCCTATGCATACAGTATGAGAACAGAATGAGTGATTGGCGAAACCATACTTACAATCTGAATTATGACTTTTTCCATGACGTTCGTGTCCTGTAGATTATAGAGGAATTTGGTGGCCGGCGTACTGGCCAGCAGTCTCAGGTTTGCTGTGTTGGCAGGTTCATTGGCGCTACGGGTGATGCCAATTGTGAAGACCTTCACGCCCTGGTTCTTTGCGTCAGCCATAGCAGAGAAGATATCAGGGTTTCTGGGATGAAAAGTCCCATCTGTGAGGAGCAGGGCGATCTTGATGCTTTCAGGGCTCGATTCTTCCAGAAATATCTTGGTCATGTTGGTGATGGCGTAGGTGGTGTAAGTGCCGTGGCCGATGTAGGCCATCGGCGCGATGCTGCTCTTGAAGTTCTCCGAGCCTTTCCACTGTTGGAGGGTCTGCTCGATAATGACGTGGCTGCTGTACTGAAGCAGGGCCGCTCTCCAGCTGAGTTTGCGAGCTGTGTCCAAACGGATGCTCTGGAGGCCTTCTATAATGTCCATAGTGAACTGTTTCTCCTGCTGGTGGTTGTCCTTGGCCGTCTCAGAGCTGTCCAGCAGGAAGGCCAACTCTAGACCGCAGTCCTCGTCCAAGATGGCTGAGGCCACAGCATGGGGAAAAAAGGGAAGGAGCAGTGTCAAAGAAAGATTCAACTATTATACAGTTGGGTAAATTCAGAATGACTCCTTTTTATTTTGATTGGATAGGCAGGAATTTACGCGAAGAAATTGCAACACAGTCAAACAACAAAGGAAATTCCTTAGTCCACCATATGTTTTGTGACAAAACATGAATAAATACATGATTCATTTTGACTAATTATTCCCTGATATGTAGAATATGATTCAGCATATTTCTCTGTACTAAGTTTAATATTGTCATTAAGTAACACAGCTATCAACACCACAAAATGGCCAACACTTTGTTTTCAGATTAAAAAAAAATATATATATATAAAAATGTTATATATTTAATAAATATATACTATTTTATAAAATATTGTGTAAATTATATGTTACATATATTGAGTAAATTACATAAATAGATATGTAATATTTCATAATATATTGAGTAAATTAGACCATTGTGGGAAATTAAGTGTTTTATAAAGTGAAAGTCAAATTATAATATACATTTTTTTAAATAAAATATATTAGTCAATAATAAAATAATGTGTGTGTGGGTGTTTGTGTTATCGGAAATATCTAATATGTTGTGCGTAAGATAACATTCATAATGCATATTAAGAAAAATAAATATTTTACAAAATATTGAATAAATTAGATATATTATATATACTGAGAAAATTTGATAAATTAGATACATAATATTTTAAGTAAATTACATTATATAATTACATAAATATACATATTGAGTAAATTGGATAAATTATAACTTTTTGTCAAATAAATTAGATCATTGTTCATAATGAACTGATCTATAAAATAAAAGTTAATTTATTTAAAAACAATCAAAAAGTAGACTGACTGCAGCAATCTGCATTTCTTTACGTCATTCCATTTTTCATGCTTCATTAAATTCAAATTCCAGTTTTGCATCCTTATACAACTTCAATAAAATTGGGAATTTAAAAGGCAAATTCACTTCTGAATAGTGCTCAGCCCTGCCATTTATCTAGCTATTTGTCTTTTTTTTCTGAAAAAGTTACATTATTCCACAATGTTTCAGAAAATGTCAATGTCGTCTTAAAAAAAGAAAAAAGAAAAAACACTAATCCTCCAAGTCTCCTAATGATCTTTTTTGGACTCATGAAGCAATGCAATCTGTCATCTGATCTTACTTTCAACACAGCAGCTCATCAGTCTTCATGTCACCAGTGACAAGACATGGCCTACCGGCTCTTATACAGGTATGAATAAATCATGTTCATGTTAGGAGAACTGAACGCCTCAGGGCTCCAAAATCACTACATCCAGACACATCCTCCTCCTAGACGGCCTTTAAATATGCTGCTAGTATGACTAGTATGTCCTAACATGACATTGCATGTTTTAAGGCATAAAACTAGCTTTATGTTTCTTAGACAGTATGAGATGCACTGATGGTGAGTTTATAGCTCATACATAGTAAAGAAGAGAAACAAATATCCTTATTACTGTGTCAAGAACAACCACATTTATGGGTAAAGTCAACATCAAATGCATTTGCAACCCATTTTAGCTTCATAATGTGACACAACTGAGTGAAACAAGACATTCAATAAGAAAACATGTAGGACAGGACTTGATTTGAAACGTTGACAATTGATTGGATCATTACAAATCAACAATATCCACAACAGACCATCTATATCATTTATTTACTCTACTAAAACAATGCATGCATACTGTCACAAAACAAAGAGATGCCTCACCTTGACCGTTGTGTTTCTGCAGAACGGCTGCTGTCTGTCCTCTAGTCTTAACTCTTGTTGGTCCAGTTTTTTCCTCATAGAAATCCTGAGCCCAAACGCTCAGCAAAACAAAACACAATACAGACCAACTCAACGTATGAGCCATGACTGCCACTCCTGCAAAAATCATAATATATTAGTATATTAATAGAAGCTTGAAAAGAACATGTCCAGATCACAATTTACCCCAAAATCAAAAGAGGAAAATAACATTTTGCGTGAGGGGAATTAAGCTTATTTCAAGGCCATTGATTGTTATTTTCTTTATTTTATTACATTACAAAACCATTTATAATACACATTTAAAAAAAAAATTGCAGCAATGCTTAAATGTCACAAAAATAATGTCACTTGCAATGCAAAAAAAAATGTTCTCTCATTTTCTTTATGCAAAACACATTTTCTTTCTCTGCAAGATCCCGTTTCATGCCAAAATCAAAAGACAAAAATTAAACATTAGAGAAATATTTTCACAAAGAGAATTAAGCTTAGTTCAAGGCCATTGATTGTATAAATAAAATGGCAATACAAAATTTGGCAAGTCAAAAAATGTCCTCAAAATATTATATAATGATTTTCATTAGTGTGAAAAATATGGAAAAATACATTGAATTAAGTATTTATACAACATAAAAGTATTTGTTGCATTATTTCCTTTAGTTGAATACATTACAAAACATTTATAATAATGCAAATGTAAAAATTGGTAAAGAAAGCATGCTTAAATGACACGAAAATGTCACATGCAATACAAAAATGTATTTATTCTCATTTTCTTGATGCAAAACATTTTTTTTCTCTGCAAGATCACATTTCATGCCAAAATCAAAAGACAAAAATTAAACGTTATATTTTTCACGAAGAGAATTAAGCTTAGTTCAAGGCCATTGATTGTATAAATAAAATGGCAATATGAAATTTGCCAAGTCAAAAATGTCCTCAAAATATTATATAATCATGTTTATTAGTGTGAAAAAATATGGGGGAAAAAATACATTGACTTTTTTCCAAAAACGTATTTACAGGACATGAAAGTATTTGTTGCATTATTTCCTTTAGGTGAATACATTACAAAACATTTATAATAATGCAAATGTAAAAATTGGTAAAGAAAGCATGCTTAAATGACACGAAAATGTCACATGCAATACAAAAATGTATTTATTCTCATTTTCTTGATGCAAAACATTTTTTTTCTCTGCAAGATCACATTTCCTGCCAAAATCAAAAGACAAAAATTAAACGTTATATTTTTCACGAAGAGAATTAAGCTCAAGGCCATTGATTGTATAAATAAAATGGCAATATGAAATTTGCCAAGTCAAAAATGTCCTCAAAATATTATATAATCATTTTTATTAGTGTGAAAAAATATGGGGGAAAAAATACATTGACTTTTTTCCAAAAACGTATTTACAGGACATGAAAGTATTTGTTGCATTATTTCCTTTAGGTGAATACATTACAAAACATTTATAATAATGCAAATGTAAAAATTGGTAAAGAAAGCATGCTTAAATGACATGAAAATGTCACGTGCAATACAAAAAGATAATTTATTCTCATTTTCTTTATGCAAAACACATTTTCTTATTTTTTTTGTGAATGCATTTTTTTCCTCAAACATGAATCGATAAACGATTAACAATTTCCAAGGGCACATAAAACCTTTAACACTGATATTATTTTTTATACAAACCTGCTTGGCGTGTACTATACATTATAGTAGTATATTACCTTCCATAGAGACTTAATTACCCGACTAAAAATGCAAAGCTCAAAGACAGCAATAAAAGAAAGGCTCATATTTTTTATTAGATGTTGAAAAGTGACTCACCTTTGGCAGCAATGCCTCTTGCCACAAGCGAGCAGCGCAGGTGTGCAGCTCAGTGTTCCTCAGGTGATGTGAGAGTGAGTGAAGCAGACTCTGAAGTGAGTCAACAGAAGTAGACGGCGTCCTCAGGCTGTGTCACAGCCCATTTCCCTCCCACTTTTAAGGGGAGGAGGACCCACCGAACTCTTTTCTGCATGTCTCCCCTCAAGAGTGAATCTAAAAGCGTACTGCAATAAGCACTATGCACCTTTTCCAATTATTTCATTTGACAAAAAATCCGTATTTAGGCCTAAATGCAAGATTTGTGTATTTGTATTGCACTTAAAATTTCCTTCCACTTGGGACAGTTTTAAAATAATATGATGCATGTTTGTCAGTCCTACATAAATGAAACAGATTTCTATAAAAACGGAATGTTTTAAATGCGTAGTAACCAGGTTTATTTATTTGTCATCAATGACAATCATTTTGTTTCTATTTCATACATTCAAAATTCATTGCTTATTCCACATATGGATTACTTTTATGATTTCCTCCTCCAAGATTTGAGTTTGACACCCCTGGTTTATTGCAAAGGAATAGTTCGTTCAAATTTACCCTTATGCCATTCTGACTATATATTATGTTCTTTCTACCTTTATACCTAAAGAAGACTGCCTTTATCATACTTTTATGGTGCTTTCTTGAGCCTGACAGTGTTATTCAATATGTACTTTCCTCAAATGGAAAAAGAAGCATTCTGCCTAACATCAAATTTTATGTTTCATGGAAGGAAAAAATAAAAAATTACATGGTTGGAATGACTTGAAGCTGCGTCAATGATAATGAAAGTTTCACTTTTGGGTGAACTATTCCTTTAATAAACACGGCATGTGTTATCCATACAAAAAGTCTAGTGTTTATGTACAAAAGTCTTTTTACGTGTTTTGAGATTCATACCTGTTTTCTGCATCTTGTCTGCCGTTTTCCGCTTCCTGCCTTTTCCGCTCCAGCTCCTGAATTTCAGCTTGCTTGTCCTTTAACACAATGAAATGAAATCATTATAACTCCATCTGAAAACAAACAGTAATGTAACTGATAATTAATATTAAAGTGCCCCTATTATGGATTTTTGAAAATTACCTTTCATGCAGTGTGTAACAGAGCTCTAAGTGAATGAAAACATCCTGCAAAGTTTTAAATCTGAAAGTGCACCGTGTATAAAGTTATTGTCTCTCAAAAGAAAGAGTCGACTCTGAATCATTGAAACGAGTCATTTTAAAAATGAATCCCAAGCCGTTTCATGTTGACGTCAACATTAAATATTAGCATGTTGGTCTTTTTGCGTTGGTCTGAATGAAATGCAAATTCATTCTTTGCCACAAGGTGCCACTTTTGGAGTGGTAAAAACAGCTGTTTCCCTGGTAACGCTGTACACAAAGCAGTACTGCGCTCACAAACGCAGCTTTTATTATGAAATGGAAATGGAATTGACCAATCGGACCAATCACCGCAGATTAGCGTCACGCAAAGGAGGGGTTTGGAAAAATGAATCGCTGAGCAAATCGTTTGGGAGTCGTTGAGCAAGTAAGGTAAAAAATAAATGCATATTATAAGACAATGAAAGTGTTTTTTGACCTTGCATGCATGTCATCCTGTTGTTGGGGACTCCCAAAACCAAAATATGAACCTTTAATAACCCATAATAGGGGCACTTTAAATCTAGGCTGACCATAAATCCTCTTTTTTCCAGAAGTGTCATGGCCGGGATACTTCATATTTGCTGAAGGTAATGACTAAAAAAGTAGTTTGACCAATAGCGTGCAGGCATTGTGCATAATCGACCAATCGTCGCATGCGAGAAGGTGGGACCTACACAGAATGGTCAAACCAATGCAAATATGCGTACATATAACGGATTGCAGAGAGCATCTCAGTAGGCAAACAAAGCCAAAACCCTGACATTTCATGCAATCAAAAATTCTATACATGTCCAGGAAAAGAGGTCGTATGGTCACTCTAGTGAATTCTGAACATTTGTTTCATTGCTTACCAGTATCATTTTCCCACGCTGCATTGAGAGATCAACAAGCTCATCCTTTTCCTTCATGAGTTTCTCCAGTCTCTCTTGAGTGTCTGTCTCTCTCATTGATTCTTTTTCCTGAGTTTGTCTTAGTTTGAGATCCAACTCTGTTGGAAAGAAATGTATGAGCTGTTTAACGGTGTACCAGGACAACTACACAAATTTACATAAAAATACTTTACCTTTTTTTTTTATCTAGTTGTCAAGGCAAAGCCTCAATTAAAGTTATTTTAGCTTGATGTATTAATATAACTAAAACTGAAAAAAAATTTAATAAAAAAAACTATATAGACATTAAAAAAATGCAAAAAACACAACTAAATTACTAACTAAATTACTCAACTAAAATTGAATTTAAAATGGAAAATATAAAAATAATCACTATAATATGTGACCCTGGACCACAAAACCAGTCATAAGGATCATTTTATTTAAATTGAGATTTATACACCATCTCAAAGAAAATCTGGAATCTGAGGGTGCAAAAAAATCTAAATATTGAGAAAATCGCCTTTAAAGTTGTCCAAATGAAGTTCTTAGCAATGCATATTACTAATCAAAAATTAAGTTTTGATATATTTACAGTAGGAAATTTACAAAATATCTTCATGGAACATTATCTTTACTTAATATCCAAATGATTTTTGGCATAAAAGAAAATTCAATAATTTTGACTCATACAATGTATTTTTGGCTATTGCTACAAATATACCCCAGCGACTTAAGACTGGTTTTGTGCTCCAGGGTCACATAGTATCTCAGTAATACTAAAATAATATGGAACCCAACACAGTATCAAGTGTTTAGCTTACAAAAGTGAACTAAATTGTTCTTAAAATCAAGCATTAAAATGAATTCATTGGTTTATTAGATAAATTTAAACCAAAACACTGTAGAGTTTGATTGAATGTACATCAAAAACAAAAATGTTCTCATGTTTTCTCTTTGAAACGAAGCTATTTTAGTATTTAAGAAGCGAATTATTTTGCTATACTAAGGTGCACCATACTTTTGCATTTTAATATTTGCATTTATTGTTGTTTTTCCACAATCCTAACTGAGAAACACCATTTTAAATGTCATTTAACTTGATCTACAGTTATGTATTTAACAAAACTACGATCAAGTTTCTTATTTGAAGAATAGTTTCTTATTATTCTTTGGTTTCGGTCAAATTTCGAATACATACCTGCACACATCTCGACAGCATTCTTCAGCTGTTTTTGTGTGTCGCTCAGTTCGTTCTTCAAAGACGCCTCTTTGATCTGATGGAGGTTGATCAGTTCTTTCAGTTTAATCTGGAAACCGGTTGTTTTCTCCCTGTTGGGATCATAAAGATATCGGCAAATACTCACTGTCCTTATTTCACTAAAGGACATCAAGTTCATTCAGTTCTGGAAGTATATTTCCCATTCATGTTTTCCATATGTATTTTTAAAAAATCAATCAATAAATTGTTCTAATTGTTCAAGAGTTCATGAAAACTTAACAAAGGTGGGTCTCTCTTCAGCATTATGAATTCTATGTTAGTGTAGTTTTTAGCAGAAACATGTCAATTTTGGCTATTTGTTTAAGTGGTGTTCTTAAAGGGGTCATATGATGCGATTTCAATTTTTCCTCTCTCTTTGGAGTGTTACAAGCTCTTGGTGCATAAAGAAGATCTGTAAAGTTGCAAAGACTAAAGTCTCAAATCCAAAGAGATATTCTTTATAAAAGTTCAGAGTCAGCCACGCCTACCTAAAACGGCTCATTCTAACACGCCCCCACATATCTACCTCACTATGTGGGAAGATTTGCATAACGCCGCCCAAATGTTCACGCAAAGAAAGAAGGCGTAACTTTTATTCTCGCTGTAGTATTGTTGTTGCCGCTGCCGTCATGTCGTGAAGACGCTGTGTGCTTCGTTGTGAAAGCGAAACTACTTTGTTTGGTCTTCCAAAAGAGGACGATATCTGCTTCGTCATGCCTAGAGCTGATCCGTGCTGGTCGCTGAGGGAATACATCAACTTAGTGCTGTGGATCACCGGATCGGCTTTCACCTATGAGGCGCCGGGCTGGACAAAAGTGAAGCGACCGCGGAGAGAGAGAGAGAGAGAGCGACAGTTCGCGAGAGAGGCCGAGTGCGTCCGAGAGAGCGAGAGTGCACGAGAGAATGCAGACAGGGTTTTATGTTTACGCGACGCGATGCAACGCAACGCGTAAAAAGACAGTATAAGTCATTATAATCAGTAATTATGTCCCCACTGGATGCAACAAATGCCTCATTTATAATGGGTTTTAGTGTTTTTGTCTCATTGCTCCGGCCGGACACGGCATCAACAGTATGGTAGGGGCGTAACATTTCTGTCACACGCTTGAGGAATTCGGCCAATCACAACGCACTGGATAGCTGGCCAATCACAGCACTCCTCGCTTTTCAGACCGATGAGCTTTGTAAAAATCGACGCGTTTCAGAAAGGCGGGGCATAGAGGAGAAACAAAAATGTACAGTATGTGGAAAATAATGTGTTTTTTGAACCTTAAACCGCATAAACACATTTCATTACACCAAATACACAAAATAGTGTTCTTTTTAGCAGCATCATATGACCCCTTTAAGTGAAATTTTTACTTCCAGAACAGACTGAAACCGAGAACCGTTCCTTACTGATACTCTGTTTCTAGTATCTTATGTTGCTCTGCCAATTCCTTGAGCTCTCGAGTCAGTTTGAGGATGGTCTTCTCTTTTTCTTGCACTTCCTGACTGAAAAGCGTTTCATTTTCCTTCCCGAGTCTCTCGTTCTCTTTCTCCAGCTTGGCATTCTGGCTCTTGTACTCGTTCTTGAAGTTGATCAGCTCTCGGTGGTTGGAGGCCAGGTGCATGAATCTCTGCTCCAGCAGTTCGGATTTCTTCCTCTCGTTCTCCAGCTCCAGCTGCACATTGGCTCTCAGGTTCTCCAGCTCTGCGTTGATCTTCTCCAGAGCCTGACAGCGCAGAAGCATCTCGTCTGCTCTCTGTTTCAGGATGCAGATGAGAGTTGACTGCTCGTCAATTCTTGATCGCAGCACGTCTGCTTCTGTCCTCTCTACCTGGGAGAGACTTCGGAGCTTTTCCAGGGCTTGGTGCACATCGTCCATATCCTTATAGGAAGGATTAAGATCTGGGGTTAAACTTGTGCTAATACGATTTCATTTCAGTCAGTCATTATATTCAACAACAAAAGTGATTTCTGCTTTGAAATGGTCTAAGAAGCATTGGCTTTAGATGTTTTTTTTTAAAGTCAAATACTGATATTTAGAGAAAAGTTTGCCCGATAGATGATTCAATTTCCAATATAATATAATTAAACGAAAAGTTCTTCCAAAAGATGAACATTTGCTGAAAATACTCACCCTCAGGCCATCCAAAATGATGAGTTTGTTTCTTCATCAGAATAGATTTGGGGAAATGTAGCGTTACATCACTTGCTTTCCTTGTAAACAGTGCTTGATCTGTGTATATTTCTCTCCTGATTCAGACAATCAGAATTTTTCACCGGAGAAGCAATATTGTGGATACAGGATTCGTATTTTAGCCATAAGCGGTGGTGTTACGATAAATTAAAAGCATCTTAATAATGGATTTGTTTTTTACAAACACAACGTTTTGCTTCACTAGACGTTAACTGATGGACTGGACTGATGTGGATTGCTTGTGGATTATTGTGATGTTTTTATCAGCTGTTTGGACTCTCATTCTGACGGCACCCATTCACTGCAAAGGATCCATTGGTGAGCAAGTGATGTAATGCTGCCTTTCTCCAAATCTGTTCAGATGAAGAAACAAACTCATTTGCATTCGGATGGCCTAAGGATGAGAACATTTCCAGCCAGTTTTCATCTTTGGGTGAATTATTTCTTTAATTAGTCATAGCATGTAATTTAACTTACATGAAATAACATTTTTTATTACAACAATTACTCAAAATTCACTCAAAAATATTTGAAAATTATTTGAATATTTGTGCACTGACAAAGCTGTTGGCAGAATGACTTTAAATGGCCAAATATTGCAGATTAATCCGCCTGGATGATAAGTCTATCACTCACTCTTATAATAAAAAAAAGCGCTGCAATTTATAGTGCAAATGTGATGAACTGAAAAGCCAACAGCAAAAAAACAACAACTTTGTCTTAAAGTTTTAAATTACAATAATTTTTCTCAATCCTCCAAACAAAAACTTTAATATCATCATATTGTGAAATAGTGAAGATGAACAAACTGTAATGGGCAGGTAATGTACTAAACATTTAAATAATCTAATGACTGGTTGTGTGAAAATGGCAGAAATGTTTCCCTGTGTAATAAAACATCCAGGTATTCGCATGGATTTTAATGAAAAGCCTTTAAAACTACATTTTATACAGTGTAATATGCTTTTAAAAAATGTAGTGTATATAGAATGCATGCCATATTTTGAATACAGAAACAGAGAGAAACAGTACTTAATAACCTTAGTGTATATTAAAGGATGCACACTTCTTGTATAATAACGTATCTGTTTTTACAGAGCACGAATCAGCTGTAGAATTACAGACGTGACTGCAGGTTTTTCATGGATGTATTTTCAGGTACAATCAGGCAAAAGGGAAAATGGGGCTTTACCATTTCAGTCACATTCACCTGTTCACATCATTTTGTTATAGCTTTGTTGAATCATTTGTTTCTTGGTTTAGTTATGGATACAGCTCTATGTTGATTTGAAAATCATGCATATTATTCTGAGGTTTGTCTTTTTGCTGTTTAATACCTTCTATGCTTAAGGTAGAGTCAGGTCTATATACTGTTTGTATAATCTATGTTTGGGAGAGTTCTCTCTCTCTCTCTCTCTCTTTAATGTTATTCTTTGACAGTAATTGTTAATCAGGGGTAGAGCTTCTATTATATTTGAGAGGCATTATAATCAGGTATTTTTGCACGTTTTCATGGATTTTCCCATTTCTTCATGTTTGTTTATTTGCAAAACCTCTTGATAGCTGCACTCTTTCTCCTTTCTTTTCCCATTTTTAAAATAAATAAATAAATAAATAAATAAAATTCCCTCCTTTTTTGCACTGCTTGTGACCCGGGTTTATAGGCTGCTCTATTAAACAAATGAACGCAATGAAACCACACTGGGATACACAAGCCAAGCAAGAATCTATTATATTACGCTGGCCGATTTGAAATGATCTGTGTTTTCAGAACTAGAGTATTTGTTGGGGCAAGTTGTCACATATTTTAAATACATAAATATTATTAATATAAATGTATACTGCGTACTAACTGTAATATTTGTAACCAAAAACAATGGTTAATTATTTTTGCAAGTGACAAGTTTGCTGTTTATGCCCATTGTGACAACTTACCCCATTCAGTGTGACGCCACTGAGGCATGTTATGACAAAAAACTGGACATGTGTTATATGAACTGTATTGTTTATTTTTATTTTCTTAAGCAGTATCGGTGGAAATGTTCAAGGTGTTTGTCAACGAAACTGAATTGGAAGAAGTAACATAAATTCCTTGAAAATAGTAGCTAAAAAATATATATTTTTTTAAATGTGACAACAAGCCCCGGTATGTTTACACTAGTGGGTGATTATTGGTTTTAAAGCTCACAAACTGCAAGTAGAGTATCACGCCTCAGGTATTTAATTTTTTTTAATTAAATTAATTACAATTTTTAATTCAATCTAAAAATTAAGCAAATCTATGTTTCGGGAGAAAAAGGTTTTTTTTTTTTTTTTTTTTTTTTTTTTGTAATGCGCCACCAGTTGCTTTGTTATTTTTTTGGGGGCGCATTATGCGTTTCAAATCACGATTTTATCACAAATGCATAATCAAAACAGTCGCTGGTTGATGGACAGAGATCATGCGTGTCAGTTGCAGAAATGGGCGTAAACTATTTTGTATGAACATCACGTACCTGTTTAGTGTCTTTGATCATCGTTTTTAGGTCTATTGGGGTTTTCTGAGGAGATGTCATGCTGAAGCTTTCAAGGCTATGTTTTTGCAGAAGGAAATCCTGAGGTTTCTTCACAAAGGCAGCGCAGTGATCCTACGGCTTGTGGCTATTCAAAGCTTCCCCGGTTGCCCCTAGCAACAGCGAATCCAGTCGCGATTATTTCGCCTATTTTTCCCTTTTGATAGCCTGCATTTGAGAACGTGATTCAGCGTTTTAAAAATCGACTCACATTTATAACACGTCCTGTTGATCTAGATAGGTCTGTTTTGTGTTTCCCCCTCAGGTTAAGCAGATTGGGCTGAAAAAGCAGGTGTAGTGCTCGAGTTCCACCACTAGATGTCGCCACGACTCCTCTTTGGTTTATACCGGTTCGAAAGGCGCAGACTTGTTTCTATACATTTGCATTAGGTTGATCTGAAGAGTAAAGAATTGATTTGATTAACATTAAGTTATAACACCTACAGCTGTAGCTCTGTTGGAAAAAAAAAAAAATCAACAGACTGTTTAGAGCCAGTCAGACTGAGAAGCCAGCCAAAATCTTAGGCTGGTTTAAATATTTTTTATTTTTTTTAGTGGGAGCTCTTAAATTATAAATTGAGGATCACATTAAAAGTCTCGGACATAAAAGGGTCACTTTAACACACATCAGATTTTAGTTTGGGCCCAAAAGGTTCACTTATTAGCTAAGCATGGGATCTTTGACTTGCCTGCGTGACTCCTTATAGAAACTCACTGACCTTAAAGGGATAGTTCACCCAAAAATGACAATTCTGTCATCATTTACTCACCCTCATGTCGTTCCAAACCTGTACGAGTTGCTTTCTTATGTTGAACACAAAAGAAGATATGTATCAAAAAGTTGGTGGTTGCCATTGACTTCCATAGTATTGTTTCTCCTACTATAGAAGTCAGTGGCAACCACTAACTGTTTGATTACCAGCATTCTTCAAAATATCTTCTTTTGTGTTCAACACAAGAAAGCAACTCGTACAGGTTTGGAACGACATGAGAGTGAGTAAATGATGACAGAATTGTCATTTCTGGGTGAACTATCCCTTTAAGTAACGCATTTAAAACCGTGTTTTGCATTATTTGACTCTTGGAAGACTTGAACTTGTGCTCAGTCTTGAGAATCAGACACAGTTGTGCGTTACTACCAATAATCATTTAAAATAATAAGCATCATATTTTTGCTAATAGCTCAAATATTGACTCGAGCGTGCACACTTTGAAGCTTCATAATGTAGTTTCACAACAGACTATAAAAACCACAGTCAAGTTGTCGTTATTGAATTAGCCTGGTGTTGTAATACATAGACGCACAAATTAAAAAGTTAACATGTTCCAATTAATTAAAGCAAACTAATTTGTTAAAAGAAGTGGTTGAAATGTTTTTTGTATGTCTGCTGCCAGTAGTGGCTCGTAGCTGCGTTTTGGAGCAGAGTTGGTTAACTGGTTTAAACTGGTCATTAACTGAAAGCTGTTATTAGGTGACTGATCACCAGTCTGACCGCCTTAAACTGGTAGGACAATGATGTACACTTTGCTGACACAATATCGTTTAAAATTTAGTACTGTCTGCTGACTCTAGGATAAATGGCCACTTCTCTTAATTGTTCAATCAAACACAAGTTTAAATTGGAAACTTGAATTTGCTGCCCTAAACGTGAAGTAAAATAGCCAAAAGCTACAGACTGCAGTGCATTACTGATGAAGAGGTTGGTTTTGATGTTAAGGCATAACGATGAACATTTTTACAGTTTTTTTTTCCTCCAACATTTTTACATTTTAAGATGAAAAATGAGAATAAAATGGGAGAATAAAACAGATTATTGCAGTACGTTTTACAAGATAATACTCTTTCAGTCTTTAAAGTTTCACACTTAAGTCAATGTGTTCCATGCCGTTGTAATTCTTTGTGAAATGTACCAGACATTTTTGAGTGAAAATAGTTTTAGGGTTCTAGCAAATCCTACACCATATATTATGTATGCTGATCTAATATATATATATTAGATCAGATTATCAGTTTGGTTATCTTATTATACCAGAAGTGCCAGAAGTGGTCATTTTGCCTAGTGTCTATTCCAAAAAGCTAGCACACCATTTAAAAGTGTTCAAACAAATTTCTCAACCTCCTTTCTATTGCAGAATCAGGAAACATGCAAAGCAGCAACAGGTGTCTCAGTAAATAAAATGCATGTATAATGATAATTAATAAATGACAATTATTTATTAGGAAATGTAATCTGCTTTCTTTTTGCCCAACCCTTAGGATGTAAGCTTCTTATGTGCATCAAGCAACTAATTACTCAGCAGCTGCCGCTCAAGACAACCATTGCTGCCCATGAAACACTCGGTTAACCTAGTGAAACTGAGCTGTGGTTGTCTTTATTGAGATTTTAAAACTTTTATTAAGTATAATACTTTATTAAGAATCATTGCAGATTGTTTGTTTCTAGGGAGAACTGGTATGGTTGCATTAAACGGAAGCGAATGCAATTCAGTTTCCTGACCATTGTGACCTTGAGGCGTCAAAATCACATCTTCTCGCACAGTCTTCTGGGATTTTGGGCTGCTATGTTTGCATCAGGTTTAAGTTTGTGGCCGTAGCCTTGATTGATCTCCTCAGAAATGCGAGCCAGGAATGAGTTCCTGTAATCCAGCTTTATTCAGCATGTGTTTTCGGAGGAAATGACCCAAAAGGGTCTTGATGGAGGGGGGACAGGTTACTTTCTCTAATCCGCTGAGCTTCCTGTTGGTTCCCCGAGCTCTCAGTTTCAGACCCGAGGGTCAAAGGTCTTTGAAGGTAGTTGTTCGTTACCTTGTTTAGCATGCATTTTAATTTAAACTTGGGCTTTAAAAAAAAACAACCTGAGCTGGCACAATGTAAACCGTTTTGACACCTCGTTTCATGATGTTTATTAACCAACCTATGAAACCGTCCTGTATAAATTAATATTTACAGCCAGTAGCGTGTTACTCATTGCCTGCAAAAGTGATGATTATGCTGATTTATAACTTCTTTTTTGTTTTTAAATTCACTTTCATTAGTCACGTATTAGCTGTCTTTGGATTGTAATGATTAAAAGGACACTTTCACTCAGTGTCACATTCGCCAGCAGCCTTTTTTTTATTATGTGCAGCCATGGGTGCAGACAATACCGTGAAGATCAGCGAACAATGATATCTCATTCAGGAGGCTCAATCAGATGTGGATCAGTGAGGGGCACTGTTGCCAACTCTCGCGAGACAAATAAGCAACCGCTGCTTCAAAAACAAGCCCAAAACAAGCTCAATTTTTTTATTATCATCAATATGATTTATTATCAATTATTTATTACCAATAAATGAACCTGCAACATATTAAACTGAAACCACTCTTGTATCTGAAAAGCAAAAACAGAAGCTATTTTACAAAAATCAGCAAACTGCAACAAAAATGGGAACAAAACCCATCTCCAATCACTTGTGTGCAGAATATGATTGGAGAGATGGAAAAGGAGAAAAACACAAGCGCTTCAAATGAGAGCTGTAACATAGCCACATATTTATAGCCTATTAAAATATAGGCTATTCGAACCATATTTACTCTTAGTATTAGTATAGGACTACTTGTTTTTTATTACAGCCCGTGATAATTAATACATTACAAAAACATTGTAAAAATAAAAAAATAAGCTAAAAGAAATTCATCCCACTCCTCTATGTCTACTTCTATCATCGCTTGGATTACAGCGTCATGGCACGCGCCGTCTTTTTGAACGTGATTTTCTCCAATGAGGGGGAGGAGGGGGCGGAACATTTGGCAAATTAAGCTGCAGCACTTATATTATTGCACTGGTTGGCTATTAGACAGAGTGTCAACCAATGCATTGGAGAATAAGGCGAACATAAATAAAGAAACGAAATTGCTTGTCAGATTTCCCGAACAAGCAACCGTATTTTTTAAAATAATTTTTTCACGCAACTTTACAAAAAAAGGAAGGCCAAAGTCGCGTATAATACGCAGACTTCGCAACTATGGTGAGGGGCCTCATGATCTGTGGGGAAGTCGTGGCCTAATGGTTAGAGAGTCGAATTCATAACTTTTGGCAAATTAAGCTGCAGTATTGCACTGGTTGGCTATTAACTGCGAGCAGACAGAGTGTCAACCAATGCATTGGAGAATAAGGCGAACATAAATAAAGAAACGAAGTTGCTTGTCAGATTTCCCGAACAAGCAACCGTATTTTTTTAAATAATTTTTTTACGCAACTTTACAAAAAAGGAAGGCCAAAGTCGCGTATAATACGCAGACTTCGCAACTATGGTGAGGGGCCTCATGATCTGTGGGGAAGTCGTGGCCTAATGGTTAGAGAGTCGAATTCAGAGAGGGAATCAGTTTGATGCTGGACGGAGGATCTTATCTGAACCTGGCTGTCAGCAAGCTTTAAAGTTCATAATTTAAACACATAACTGTAAACCTCTATGGAAGCCCATTTCCATAGACTTTTAATCTTACAATTCTGACTTTTTATTCTTGCAATTCTAAGAAAAAACAGAGAATTCCGAGATATAAACTGACAGTTCTGACTTTTTTTCTTGCAGTTCTGAGTTTTTAACATTTTTTTTTCTGCCGTGGATTAAAAAAATGAGAATGGTAAGTGCAAACTTTATCTCATAATTCATCTCATATTTTTTTTCTCTCTCAAATACACGTTGATATCTCACAATTCTGAGTTTATATCTCACAATTCTGTTTAGCTGTTTAGTCAGAATTGTGAGATATAAACTCAGATTTGTGAGAAAAAAAGTCAGAATTGTGAGATAAAAGACGCATCCCGTCGTGGAAACAAGGTTTCATAAACTTCTCATTCCTTGCCTCCATAGAGAAATCAATCTTTTTAACGAATAATGTCTTTAAATGCTTTCAAACTATTTATTACATCGATTTAATTTATAATTTTGCAATGAACTTTGCATATTTACAGTATGTTGTTGCAAAATATAAACAATATATTTACGACAATACATTTTAAGTTGAATCCAACTTTATCCGCACACATATAGCACACTCACATAAAGCAACATATACTATATAATAGTGCTGTCAAGCGATTAATCGCGATTAATCGTATCCAAAGCAGAAGTTTTTGTTTACATAATATATCTGTGTGTACTGTGTATATTTATTGTGTATATATAAACACACACTCATACAGTATATATTTTGAAAATGATTTACATGTATTTACATGTATATATTTATATAATTTATATTATATATATGACATATTTTTCGTAAATATATACATGCATGTGTGTGTATTTATATGTACATAATAAATATACACAGTACACACATATATTATGTAAACAAAAACTTATTTTGGATGCGATTAATCGCGATTAATCGTTTGACAGCACTACTACATAACAAACCTCAACTTTAATTTGTAGCAAAATCTAACTATATTATCGCAAAGTTAGTCAAGTATATCCAACTTTACCCGCATACATACAGTACACTTACATAAATCAATATATACTATATAGCTCAACTCAATAACTCATTGCCACAGAATGCAAACTATATAATCGCCCGGCAAAATATTTAAAGTTGTCTATAAAGTGCATCCAATTTTATCCAAATCATGGAGCAAACTCATATACATAGAAATATTAGACATATAGCAAAGATATACAGGAAATCTCAACTTAATTGTTTATATTGTCGCAAAATGTAACTATATTACCGTCCCGCTCATCTTTTACTAAACTCGACTATAAGACATGAAGATATTCAAATATTTGAAATATTAACATCATAAAGCTTTGAAACAATGTGTGGCTTATAACTCTTTACTTTGAAATCCTAGAGCAAATGATTATGAAAATTACTTAAAGATGCTTAAAAAGTGGGCAGTAACTGTTGCCACTCCTGCCGTCTTAAAACAGTTTTAGGTTTGCCAGAGAATGAAGTAGCACGTTTGTACTCGTAGAGCAACTCAAAAGTGTACACAAAAGTCTCTAGGCTCCAAAGATTCTTCTTGTCTTAAGTATCTTTTTCAAGTTTACAGCTATGAGTGAGAAAATGTGCCTGCTAAATAGCACGACTTTCAGACTGTCGTTGTTTATTGTTCTAGAAAGAATTGCACGTCCGCTTGACGCGTGTTTGGTGTTCATTCCTCTGTGTAGGTTATTATACAAAAGTGTGAACAGGCTAAACAAACAGTAATGACGTCTGCATTTCGAACGGCGAGAAAATACCGAAATCCCATTTTTCCTGTTCTGCACGTGCTGCTTAAACCTCACACATGCTTCTGGGCCTTTGCGGTAAAAGTCCTTGAGCAACAGGGCTGCTGTATTAGAAACAGGAACAGAAGTTAACACAGTTGGCACTAATGAAGACTTCTAATCCTCTCAGTGTAAGCAGCACCCTCATTGGCCGTATTAGTCACTGCCGCGATGCCATCTAAAAGCTGAGAGGCCTGTGTTCACGTTTGACGACGTTGGATTGAGGGAGTGTGTGCTGTAAACAGAGGCGGACAAAGTACTCAACTCTATTACTTGAGTGAAAGTACAGATACTGCTGGTCAAATATTACTCTATTACAAGTAAAAGTTGTAAAGACAGATTTTTACTGAAGTAAACGTACAGAAGTACTTGCTTTTAGAAGTACTTAAGTACAATACTCAAGTAAATGTACTTAGTTACTGTCCGCCTCTGGCTGTAAATCATTGTATCTTAAAAGCGAACAAAAAGGAACAACCTGTGATCATTTACTCACCGTCATGTCATTCCAAACCAGTATAAATCTCTTACTTCTGTGAACACAAAAGATGTTTTTAAAAATGTCTTAGTCGATATGAATGTCAATGGGGTTCAATGTTGTTCAATGTCAAAATAACTTTTAACAACATGAAGGTGAGTAAATGATGACGTATTTTCATTTTATTCCTTTAATGGATTAAAATTTCTGGGTAAATTGTAACAATAGGTTATTCTTTAACATTAGTTAATTTTAAAAACGATAAACTAAATGCAGTGCTATTTTAGTATCACTGGTATACTGATATTTTATTTTAATTTAGTTAATGTTTATTTTATTTTAAGTAATGATTAAGAAAATGTTTTAATTTTTTTTTACGGTTTTAGTTATAATTAACGATAATATCCCTGGCTAAATTAACAGCATTTTTACAGCCTTTATTAATCTAGGTTAATGTTCATTTCTGCATACTAATGCATTTTATGAATTAGCAATGACTATTATATTTATAGATTCAAATGAGATAAATAAAAGATATAAAAATTTTGTTTATTAACCACTTTTTACACTATTTATGATGTTTGCCTGTAGATTTTGGAACTAACGCATCTATTGGTGCTGATTATTTAAATTAATTTAAATAATTTGGACGATATTTCGGTCTCACACATTGCAAATTCATTCTAAAGTTTCCAATGGCAGTCAACTTCACCGATCTGAATGGTTTAATAGGCTTCCCGACTCTATGTTTGCCTCCTTTCCACTCGCCGCCAATGCCAAGCCGCGTTGGTGTACCAGTAGGTCTTTTCTCCACGACTCTGAGCCAAAGTCAGTTGTAAAGCAATTGACTGTATTCTGCGTCGTCCATTTCCATATGAAACGGGCTGCGGCACTCGGCTCCGCGTTATGGCCGGCCAGCTCTGGCGCTGGGCTGCCAGCCATTCCTGCGCATTTATTCACTCCGGCTGCCCCCCCAAAGCAGGGCGGCGTTGATGAAAGGAGCGGCACCTCTCCCATGGCCCCCGCGGGACTGGACAGAGATGTTTTGGGGGGCTTGCTAGTGGCTGGTAAGTGCCTTTAGGTTTTTTAAAGGGAAAGAGGGGTGGCAGAATGGAGGAGGATGGGCCTCTTTTCCTCTTTTCCTCTCTTCCTCTTTCTTTCGCGCAGGAAGCTCTACTGTATTCCCCCATTCTATTATCCGTCTCCATCAGGCCTTTTGGAGTGCTGACACTTTCAGTTATGGGGCTGCAGCCCTGCCAGCCAGGCCATTGTGCCATTGCGGTCTCACAGTGGGGTCTAAGCCTTTGGGAGGCTTCATTCTAATGAAAATTCCTCCACCGCACTCTCTTTGTGACCCGACGTTGGCACGTCCTTGTTTTTCCCCTCAGATAGTTTCGGGGATTCTTGCCTGCTGAGGGTTTAAGTTGGCTAATTAGAAAAGACATGCCCAGAGAGGAGACAGGGACTGAGGGGGGAAATAAAGGAAACAGCAAATGAAACAAACAGGGTAAGCAAAGACATTAATGAAGGAAGGAAAAACAAGTGGAGGACGACATTTGCATAATACAAGCCACTGTCCTGACAATGGCCCGCCAGGACAATCGCATAACTGTTGTCATTCGCACAATCTTAGTTAAGACGTCCAAATAAAACCCTTTTAAAGACACCCCAGGAAATGACAGGGCTAAATGCTTCGTTTTGCTGAGTGCAGGAACAGGATAGGCCCGCCGCTGTTCACTTTACCTGACGCTTTTCCCAGTTGCTGATACCGTCAGGAAACACTGGCTTTATTTTCCAGGCTCTTGGTGGATAGGTTTCAGCTTTTGGCAACGACTGATAAGTTGTATACACTCTTAAAAATAAAGGTGCTTCACGATGCCATAGAAGAACCTTTTGGTCTAAATGGTTGCATAAAGAACCTTTAACATCTGAAGAACCTTTCGGTTTCACAAAAGGTTCTTTGTGGAGAAAGAAGGTTCTTCGGATTATAAAAAGGTAAGAAAGAGATGGTTCTTTAAAGAACCTTTGACTGAATGGTTCTTTGTGGAACCAAAAATGGTTCTTCTATGGCATCGCTTGAAGAACCTTTTGAAGCACCTTTATTTTTAAGAGTGTAGATGACTCGTACTGTTAAACTGAGAGAAAACAATTCATTTGCAAGTGAAAATCAGTGCTATTTTAGTGTATATAATAATAATACTATTTTGAATAATCTTTTATTTTTATATTTTTTGTTGCCAACTTAATTTTAGTTCAAATTTTAGTAGTCAAATTTTGTTGTGGAGTTTTATCATTTTTATTTATTTATTTTCCCTTAAATATGTCTGTTCTATATGTATTTCATTTAAAAGGAATTTTAAAAAACTTTTAAAATGATTTAAAAATGGATTTAAAATGAATTTAAAATGGTTAAAAATAGAAAATTATTATATATAAAATACAGTGCAATCAGTTCGAACATAACAGAGTGCTCATTCAATAAATGCACAGCTAAACAGATGAGTTTTGAGTCTGCATTTAAATGTGACTAATGTTTTAGCACATCTGATCTCTTCTGGAAGCTGATTCCAACTGCGGGCGGCATAATAACTAAAAGCGGACTCACCTTGTTTTGTGTGAACCCTTGGTATTTCTAACTGACTCGATCCTAATGATCTGAGCGGTCTGTTAGTTTTATATTCAGTGAGCATATCTGCAATGTATTTAGGTTATAGGCCATTTAGTGATTTGTAAATGAGTAAAAGTACTTTAAAATCAATCCGAAACATAACTGGAAGCCAGTGTAAGGACCTGAGGACTGGTGTGATATGCTCAGATTTTTTGGTTCTAGCCAGAATCCTGGCAGCAGCGTTCTGGATGAGCTGCAGCTGTCTAATGGTCTTCTTGGGAAGGCCGGTGAGGAGACCATTACAATAGTCCACCCTGCTGGTGATAAAGGCATGAACAAGTTTCTCCAAGTCTTGACTGGAAACAAAACATCTCATTCTTGCAATGTTTTTGAGATGATCGTATGCTGATTTAGTTACTGCTTTGACATGACTACTGAAACTAAGGTCTGTCTCCAGAATCGCACCAAGATTCCTAACTTAATTTTTAGTTTTTTGACCCCTAGAGTCAAAGTATGCATTCACCTTGAAAACTTCATCTTTGTTTCCAAATGCAATGACTTCAGTTTTCTCCGTTTAACTGAAAAATGTTCTGGCACATCCAACTGTTAATTTCATCAATGCATTGGCATAGGGAGTCAATGGAGCTGTAGTCATTTGGTGATAAGGCTAGATAAATCTGGGTATGATCAGCATAGCTGTGATAAGCAACTTGGTTCTTTCTCATTATTTTACTTAGTGGGAGCATATACAGGCTAAACAAGAGCGGTGCAAGAATTGAGCCTTGTGGGACTCCGCATGTCATGGACGTCCACTTAGACTTATGCTTTCATATACTCACATAATAACCTCTCCCTTCTAAGTATGACCTGAACCATTTGATTACCATCCCAGAAAGCCCGACCCAGTTTTCCAGTCTCTCTAGAAGTATGTTATGATCGACAGTGTCAAATGCAGCACTGAGATCTAGTAGTACCAGCACTGATATTTTGCCAGAATCAGAATTAAAGTGAATATCATTTATTATCTTAATCTCTGTCTCTGTGCTGTGTAATTCATTTTAATGAATTCATCTGTATAGTTTTTATTACAGATTTAGTTTTAGTTATTTTAGTGCTTTAACTTAAATGAATAGGAATGGAAAGAAATTAAGGAATAAAAAAAATGAATAATAGAAAATGAATCAAAATCAATCACAATAAATAAATCAATAAAAATTAATTAAAAAAAGTTTTATTTTATTTCTGTCAACATTTATTTCAAGTAACAAAAATGTATTTTTTAGTTTTAGTCAATGAGAACAACCCTGGTGAAAATCAGGTATAAAATATAGCATTCTCATTTGCTCGTATCCTGGCAGCGTGTGTGGAAACGGTCTATTGCTGATGTTTAAAATTCTATTACTTGCGAGCAGGTGTCAGTAAGAGCGTCTCAACTCCCAGATCCTGTATATGCCAATTGTCTACCTGTGCATTACAGACGCTGCTGAAACCTCCGGGATCATGTCCTACCAACAAAGGCTTCCTTTGAGCGAGTAGAGCAGCAATTTTATCATTAGTAAACTGAGCAGGAAAAAGGCTCGTTTCCCAATTGGCTGCTGAAGGAGTTAAAAAGGAAGCCCATTTGGCTGGCATGCTTTAAAAGCATTTGCTGTGGTGTTTGGTCTAGACCTCTTGCTATGAGGAGGCCCTCGCTGAGCTTTTAGTGCTGTGGCTCAAGCACAAACCCCGTGGCCCTCTGGCAGAGCACGAAATCCATTATTAAAGAGCACATCATGGGGAACGAGGCTGATAAACTTCTGACTCATACATAATAAATGCTCTGCTAATACAGTGTTTGTTTTGCAATGGCACAGAACCAAAATGCTGTCCACTATGATATGTTTAAATTAATATTGAAGAGCCAGTTATGACAGAACTGAGAGTAGTAATATTTTACAAACTACCTGTGTACAGAAGTATGGAAGCCTGTTTCTGCTACTAAATAAAAAAATAGGTAAATATTATAATTAGGTAAAAAAGGTAATTGCAACTTTTTATCTCACAATTCTGACTTTTTTATCGGAACTGCAAGATGTAAACTAGCAATTGCATGATATAAAGTCGCAATTGCAAGTTATAAAGTCAGAATTGTGAGAGAGAAGTCATCAGAATTGCAAACAAAAAGTTCAGAGAAAAAAGTCAGAATTGCGAGATATAAACTCGCAATTGTGAGAAATAAAATCAGAATTGTGAGTTTATATTATCCATATTATATTATCCATACTGAAGGAAGCACATTAAAGGAATAATTCTTCCAAAAAATCAAAACGTATTCACTGCAAACCTGGAAAACTTTTCAAAAAACTGTCTTTTTTGGAGCCTTATAGTCATTATTACAATAAACTGTTGTTGTATGGCATTTCTGGCTGAACTGTTCCTTTAAATCTTGCTAAAACGCTTCCAACCTGCCATGTCTCATAACAAGAGGGAGTTGTTCCTCCATCCATTTAGAGATTACTTTATTGCACTGTAAGACTCATTTTTAGTCAGTCGGATGTCTAAACATATTACCTCAGATTTTTAGCAAGGCTTCTGGTCGGCTAAATGTCAATGATGACCTTGTTAGTTTAGCGCAGTTCTCAGTTTCCTATTGGCAGGCGCCGAGCTCTCGAGCTGTTTGATTGAGTTATATGAGTTTCCTAAAAGGCAGCAGGTCAGATAAGATTATCGTTTCAACCAATCCAAACAGCCACGCTTAATGAAAAATTAAAAAGTGCTTGTTAGTACATTATCATTTACTGAAACGTTATACAGTAAACTGACGTAAAATAAAAAAAACATTTGATGAAATATATACTGTATATATATATATATATATATAAGCCAGTAATGACAGTGTCGAAAAAAACGTAATCCAGAAAAATGTAAATTGAATTAAAAAAATTGGAATTTGGGAAAAAATAAAACATTTAATAGGGCCCTACTTATTTACCCCTAAAGAGTGCATATTAGTACCTTAAAACTACATATGTGACCCTGGACCACAAAACCAGTCTTAAGTGTCAATTTTTCAAAATTGAGATTTATACATCATATAATGAATAAGCTGAATAAATAAGCTTTCCATTGATGGTTTGTTATGGTAGGGCAATATTTGGCCGAGATACAACTATTTGGAATTCTAAATATTGAGAAAATCGCCTTTAAAGTTGTCCAAATTAAGTTCTTAGTAATCCATATTACTAATCAAAAATTAAGTTTTGATATAATTACGGTAGACAATTTACAAAATATCTTCATGGAGCATGATCTTTACTTCATATCCTAATGATTTTTGGCATAAAAGAAAAATCGATCATTTTTACCCAAACAATGTTTTTTTGGCTATTGCTACAAATATACCCGTGCTACTTATGTGCTTTTGGTCCAGGGTCACATATTAGTACCTAAAGAGTGCATACAGTATTAGTATCTTTTGACAAGGTTCAGCTGCAGTGACAGATGATCTGAATATCCTGTCATTTTCTGTGTAGGTTCAGGTTGTGAGGCGGGGTCTTTCCGCTGTGGGACAGGCCGTTGTATTCCAGCAAGCCAGAGGTGCGATGGAACAACCGACTGTTCGGATAACTCAGACGAAATTGGCTGCCGTAAGTAACTCTTCATCCACAGTCACAAGGTCACACTGACAGAGTGGCAAGTGTGAAATACAGCTGTTCAGTTTGTAATCCGTAACCCAGAACAGCATTAGCAGTAGCCATTAGGGATGTGCATCTCATGACTGAGGCATCTCGATGCATAGCCAACGATACGATACATTGAAGATACATATGAACAGTGTTGGGGGTAACGCATTACAAATAACGCGAGTTACGTAATCAGATTACTTTTTTCAAGTAACTAGTAAAGTAACGCATTACTTTTTAATTTACAAGATAATATCTGAGTTACTTTTTCAATTAAGTAACGCAAGTTACTTTTTTTCCCAATTTATTGATTGACGGCTCTCCTGTCCCTATGTTGAGAGAAATCAGAAGATGATACTGTAGTTCTATAATAAATATGAATATGCATTCATTCATCACACTCACACACACAAAAAAAACACAGATTCAGTGTCAAAAACCGATTAAAAAAATAATGCAACTCAGAATATGACATAAACCTGCAATAATTAAATGTTAAACAACACAAATATGCTTTATGTATTTAATCCCATTCTATTAACCAATATCTTTGCTTCTGACCTTCGATGATCCAGTTCAACCGTACTAATAAGCACAAATTACTACATTACATTCAAAAAATTGGAATTTGGGAAAAAATAAAACATTTAATAGGGCCCTACTTATTTACCCCTAAAGAGTGCATATTAGTACCTTAAAACTACATATGTGACCCTGGACCACAAAACCAGTCTTAAGTGTCAATTTTTCAAAATTGAGATTTATACATCATATAATGAATAAGCTGAATAAATAAGCTTTCCATTGATGTATGGTTTGTTATGGTAGGGCAATATTTGGCCGAGATACAACTATTTGGAATTCTAAATATTGAGAAAATCGCCTTTAAAGTTGTCCAAATTAAGTTCTTTTATTCATTTCACTTTTGCTGTGAAAAGGCTTTTATATTTGCCAAAAATATAATTGTTTTATTTTAAATACAAACAAGCAAGCCCTGTCCAGATTTTAAAAGTAATGCAAAATTAACGTAACACATTACTTTCCATAAAAAGTAACTAAGTAACGTAATTAGTTACTCGAGATACAACTATTTGGAATTCTAAATATTGAGAAAATCGCCTTTAAAGTTGTCCAAATTAAGTTCTTAGTAATCCATATTACTAATCAAAAATTAAGTTTTGATATAATTACGGTAGACAATTTACAAAATATCTTCATGGAACATGATCTTTACTTAATATCCTAATGATTTTTGGCATAAAAGAAAAATCGATCATTTTGACCAATACAATGTTTTTTTGGCTATTGCTACAAATATACCCATGCTACTTATGTGCTTTTGGTCCAGGGTCACATATTAGTACCTAAAGAGTGCATACAGTATTAGTATCTTTTGACAAGGTTCAGCTGCAGTGACAGCTTTTGTACCTTTGAACAGATCAGATTTGAGCAGTGCGATCCGATTTCGATTCGTTTCGATTCAACACAATGCGATTCGATGCAATGGAGAAAATATGATCACTTTAAATGCCTCGAGGCCTGTTTCCTAAAACAAGATAATCTAATAAGCCAGGCTTATTTCAGTTAGTCTGACTCATTTTCAAATGATTTGGTTCCATAAAGCAAATTTAACATAGACCTAGATCAAGCTTAGTCACTGTGGCAACATATGCTGGGAAACTAACCTGGTCTAAAGCAGGCTAACTGTCAGACTAAGCTAAGCTCCTCTACTGACCAATAGGAACATAATGATATTACCACTGTCTCACATACTATTATTTGACTTTTTTTTTACAGTTTCTTGCCATGCAGCCTTTGTCTCTGGTTTTATGACAGCTGTACCTTTTGTAGTTTGCAGAACATTAGAACATTACAATGTAAAATTGCTCTTTAAAGCATTAAAATAACTAAATTAAAAGTCCAAATCACTGAATTAAAAACAAAATAAATGATAAAGAAAATTATTATATTTTAACTGCTATAAGAAACACACATTAACTTATTTGAGCTTTAATTGGTACTGTAGCTACTAGCTTACATTTGATTTACCTGTTACAATAGTCTCTATACAGTTAGTGCTATCATAAAAATACACTTATATGTGGGTTTGACACATTTAATGTCCAACAACAAATATTTTAGCAAAATGAATGTATATTTTACTCAGAATTATTACGCTCCTATTCTATTGCGCTCCGTCTGTTTAGTCGCTCGTTGCTCTCACGTGCCTCGCCCACTCCTGACAGCAAAATGGATATGTTTGCATGACTTTCTAACATTTACAGATGAAAAATATACCTGTGACATGTCAGTTATGCACTGAGGAAAACACAACATCTCAAATGCATTAAACAGCACAGATATATTCACTGTTTGTCATGGTGGATCGATTTGATCCATGATTGACTTTAAGGTCTTCTTAAGAATAAGCGTGCAAGCGTGCACAAATTAGTGAGATTGTGTGAATTTCAATTGTCGTTTATGGAACCGCTTTAGCCCCGATTGATTTGTTAGGTTATTTCAAGTCAGGTTTTGGACTTTAATCCCAGTTTTTCCTCGGGTCTCTGTGGAAACTCTTCATATATACTTCAGAAAAAGTATTGGTTAAATGCTATTTCAAACACGTTTGGACCAATAAATAAATAAAATAGTTTTTCAAAAGATCATGTGGCATGTTTATTTCACTATATCGAGGAGCTTTTTGAAAGAAAAACGCAGGCCAGCTCAAATCTGTTCTTGGTTAACAATGCCGTCTCATTACGGCCCTCCAGCCCAGCCCACCTGCGAGAGTGCTCAGTTCCAGTGCTTGAGTGACGGCGAGTGCATTCCGCAGCACTGGGTCTGTGATGATGAAGAGGATTGTGAGGATGGCTCCGATGAAAGGCAGCACTGCCGTAAGTACACCTTATCTCCATCCGTCCGTCTCTCCCTCGCTTTCTGCTTCCATTTCAATTACGACTGTCCGTCAGAGCTGAGAGCTCCATTGACTCTCTGTAATGTACGGGGATGTAATTTCCGTCATGTCGGAGAAACACGATATCTCAGATGTGCAGGCAACAGTCTGAAAAACAAAAGGCAAAGCATGCATAACTGCCGTAAGTACACCTTATCTCCATCCGTCCGTCTCTCCCTCGCTTTCTGCTTCCATTTCAATTACGACTGTCCGTCAGAGCTGAGAGCTCCATTGACTCTCTGTAATGTACGGGGATGTAATTTCCGTCATGTCGGAGAAACACGATATCTCAGATGTGCAGGCAACAGTCTGAAAAACAAAAGGCAAAGCATGCATATGTTGTAGGGAGAGCATGCCACTTTAGTGAAGATGAGGACCACCCAGCGCACTCATATTATAATTGTCAGACTAAGCTAAGCTCCTCTACTGACCAATAGGAACATAATGATATTCCCACTGTCTCACATACTATTTTTTGACTTTTTTTTTACAGTTTCTTGCCATGCAGCCTTTGTCTCTGGTTTTATGACAGCTGTACCTTTTGTAGTTTGCAGAACATTAGAACATTACAATGTAAAATTGCTCTTTAAAGCATTAAAATAACTAAATTAAAAGTCCAAATCACTGAATTAAAAACAAAATAAATGATAAAGAAAATTATTATATTTTAACTGCTATAAGAAACACACATTAACTTATTTGAGCTTTAATTGGTACTGTAGCTACTAGCTTACATTTGATTTACCTGTTACAATAGTCTCTATACAGTTAGTGCTATCATAAAAATACACTTATATGTAGGTTTGACACATTTAATGTCCAACAACAAATATTTTAGCAAAATGAATGTATATTTTACTCAGAATTATTACGCTCCTATTCTATTGCGCTCCGTCTGTTTAGTCGCTCGTTGCTCTCACGTGCCTCGCCCACTCCTGACAGCAAAATGGATATGTTTGCATGACTTTCTAACATTTACAGATGAAAAATATACCTGTGACATGTCAGTTATGCACTGAGGAAAACACAACATCTCAAATGCATTAAACAGCACAGATATATTCACTGTTTGTCATGGTGGATCGATTTGATCCATGATTGACTTTAAGGTCTTCTTAAGAATAAGCGTGCAAGCGTGCACAAATTAGTGAGATTGTGTGAATTTCAATTGTCGTTTATGGAACCGCTTTAGCCCCGATTGATTTGTTAGGTTATTTCAAGTCAGGTTTTGGACTTTAATCCCAGTTTTTCCTCGGGTCTCTGTGGAAACTCTTCATATATACTTCAGAAAAAGTATTGGTTAAATGCTATTTCAAACACGTTTGGACCAATAAATAAATAAAATAGTTTTTCAAAAGATCATGTGGCATGTTTATTTCACTATATCGAGGAGCTTTTTGAAAGAAAAACGCAGGCCAGCTCAAATCTGTTCTTGGTTAACAATGCCGTCTCATTACGGCCCTCCAGCCCAGCCCACCTGCGAGAGTGCTCAGTTCCAGTGCTTGAGTGACGGCGAGTGCATTCCGCAGCACTGGGTCTGTGATGATGAAGAGGATTGTGAGGATGGCTCCGATGAAAGGCAGCACTGCCGTAAGTACACCTTATCTCCATCCGTCCGTCTCTCCCTCGCTTTCTGCTTCCATTTCAATTACGACTGTCCGTCAGAGCTGAGAGCTCCATTGACTCTCTGTAATGTACGGGGATGTAATTTCCGTCATGTCGGAGAAACACGATATCTCAGATGTGCAGGCAACAGTCTGAAAAACAAAAGGCAAAGCATGCATAGGTTGTTGTAGGGAGAGCATGCCACTTTAGTGAAGATGAGGACCACCCAGCGCACTCATATTATAATCATGTGTCTTTGATCTTTGCTGGCAGCTGGCAGGACGTGCTCCAGTTCACAGTTCACCTGTACGAATGGGGCCTGCATCCCGGGAGGATACAGGTGCGACCGTGTACCTGACTGTCTAGACGGCGCAGATGAGAGAAACTGCTGTAAGTATTCTGTCGGTATGTGTGTGATGGGATTAGAGCTGGACAATACAGCTATATATATATATATATATATATATATATATATATATATATATATATATATATATATATATATATATATATATATATATATATATATATATATATATATATATATATATATATATATATATATATATATATATATATATATATATATATATATATATATATATATATATATATATATTACAGCTGTTTATGGATATTCAATGTAACATTCAAAGGTTTGGGGTCACTAAGATTTTTTCATGTTTTTGCAGTATCTTATGACCACCAAGGTTGCATTAACTGTATTTGTAAAAAAAAAAAAAAAAATTATTCATTTTAAATTAAATTTTAAACTACAATTTAAAGGGGTCATATGATGCGATTTCAAGTTTTCCTTTCTCTTTGGAGTGTTACAAGCTGATTGTGCATAGATAAGATCCCTGAAGTTGCAAAGACT